TGGGTGCTTTTTTGTGCTTTGTATCGATCTGATGACTTAAGAAGCCCTTTTCAATGGATTTTTATAGTTTGTTCTGATGTTGTACTGTTACACCACTGTCCCAGGTTAGGAGGAGGGTTTGGCGCCAGCAAAGATGTTTAACCCAGCCACATGTGAGTCAGGAGCCTGTAATTCAATAGTTGTCATTTGTTGCTGTATATCATATTTGTTTTTCGTTCATTGTTTTGTACATAAATCAGGCCATTAGTTTTCTCGTTTGAATTGTTTAATATTTGTCATTTCTTATTTTTAGTGGCTGAGTAGGCCAAGTAGTCCAACTACTGTACCACTAGCCAGTCAACACTGAGGTTGTGAGTTCGAATTTTGCATGGGGCAGGTGCACTTGACTCTAAATTGACTATGATTGTCAGTTTTCCCACTGAAAGTTGGTGGTTCTCTCCGGCTTCCTCCACCAATAAAAAACTGATCGCCAAGAAATAGCACAATAGTGTTGAAAGTGGCGTTAAACACCAATCAATCATATGTGCAAGGTTTTGAGTTGATGTGACCCCAAACTACATCAAACTAAAACTTTAACCTTTTACATTTCCATATAAAAATAAGGAGATGTGGTATGATTACCAATGAGACAACTATCCACCAGAGTTCAAATGAAGTAAATGTAAGCAATCACAGGCATTCCATAGATGTATAAACTATACATCTATGGGCAACTGTATCTACTTCAACAATGATAAAACCCCTATTGTCTAGTAGGTGAACCATAAAATCTGGGTCGAATTCTGATTTGGCATATATATTTAAGAGTTCACTTCATATTGAATATGTGTACTAAGTTTCAAATTGATATGACCAAAAATACTTTAAATCAAAACTTTAACCAGAAACATGACAGACCGGTGCACAGACATAGAAACATAATGTCCCTCTACTACTGTTGGTCGGGCATACAACTTTACAGATCAATAACTGACAGAAAGACAGACACCAACTGAGGAAATAGACTCATACTGGACCATTTGACCTTTTGACCAACAATTTCCTTTTCTTATCAAATCTATTTACATTAACTCTTTTTTCTGCCTTTTCACAATGATTCATTACTCCAACTTAATACTGTTTTTTAACTAAAATTATGTTTTTTCTAATGAATTCTGTCCATGGAACAGATGTTAATTTAATTAATTCATTTACATGAATTGGAGATGTAAATTCAGGGTACCTTATAATTGAATTTCTACACAAGAATATTTAACAGTAATATGCATGTATATTGGGTATCAAGACTTCTTTTTGTAAATTCTTGTTTGTGATATACGGGTCATCGTAAATTTATACTAGTGAATATATAAACTGATTACAGAGACACCTGATCTCAAGAAGTTTCAATTGAATGCTAAAGAGACTTGAATAGGTGTTAATTTACTTTGTAAGATTAAGCAGCTCTTAAAATTCTAGAAGGTTTCATATTAAAAAGATTGACTTTAGACCTGACAGTTTTATATGTATAAGGGACAAAATAATTAACTTATTTTAAAGTTTGAAAATTGTAATGTATTTTGTGAGATGTTTATCCAATAATCAAGGAATCGTTTTCTCATCTCAAAATGATCCATTTTGTACAAACTTACATGCAAATTATTATAAACTATGTATTAAAGTCAGATAGTTGATCAATGTAGACATTTTTCTTAAACTTAACACTGAGCAATGAACCGTGAAAATGAGGTCAAGGTCAAATAAAACCTGCCAGATTGACATGCACATCGTAAAATATTTCCATACACCAAATATAGTTGACCTATTGCATATAGTATTAGAAAAACAGACCAAAACACAAAAACTTAACTTAAACCACTGAACCATGAAAATGAGGTCAAGGACAGATGACAAAAACTGTCTTGACAGGCATGAGGACCTTGCAAGGCACGCATACACTAAATATAGTTATCCTATTACTCATGATAAGAGAGAAATAAACATTACAAAAAATCTGAACTTTTTTTTCACGTAGTCACTGAACCATGAAAATGAGGTTAAGGACCATTGACATATGACTGACGGAAACTTCATAACATAAGGCATCTATATACAAAGTATGAAGCATCCAGGTCTTCCAGCTTCTAAAATATAAAGCTTTTAAGAAGTTAGTTAACGCCACCGCCGCATCACTATCCCTATGTCGAGCTTTCTGCGACAAAAACGACCATGCCTGATGAACACATCTTTTTGCAGATTATTCGAAAAGAAGGATTAAGATTGTCTGTATATCGCCTTAAAATCATTAGAGAAACAGATTCAACCACCAAATTTCGTGCAATAAGATATTTATCCACTCTCGACAGTTAAATTTAAAATATTTAAAACATTCGGCAAGCCTCACGTTTTAAAGTTGAAAATTTAATTGCCTTGAGTGGATAAATATCGTATCACACTCGATGCAATGGTAGAATCTATATATATATATATATAACCTTGCCAGTAACTTAAACCTGACAGATATGAATTACATTACTGTAGATTATTTTGTCTATCAGTACGACAAAAGAATCAAACAATACTATCTGTTTTGGTGCATACAGAATTAATTTATTTTATAAACTTATGTAGCAACCAAGTCATTTATCTAGCTTATGGACCACTTGGAAGAATACAAATATATGTAAAAAATAACAAGCTTATCTGTTACATTAACAGTATTTGTATATAAATCAAAGGACAAGGACATTTCTTTCACCAAATCAAAATATTTTGTCTATAGTGAAATTTCTACTATGTTTTCATTAACGATTTCCCTTTTTCTGATACATGTGAACCTCCATATGAAAATCAAGGATATGACATTTAAACTGATATCCATAAAACTAAACCAAAGATGGTGTTACTAGAAAAAAAAAGTTTAGATTCACATCTAGGATTGAAAACACAAATTTTATTCACTTTGTATGAAATACTAGTCTAAGTATCTACCTATTATCATGATATTATATAAATTTTCTGCAGCAGTTTTAACGTAAATTTATCCAAGATTGAATCAAATTTCCTTTCACTCAGTGAATAAAAATATTATAAGAAATACATTTAATACTTGTACTACTTTGTACATTGAAATTTAATTATGAATAAAACTTACATGCTGATCTTAAAACAGACAAGCAGTTTTTCTTTTAATTACAGGTGTAATATACTGACTTACCTGTCATTTTAAAATTCACCCTATAAGTTAATGGTCTTATAATCTTGGTTACATCAACATGTAAAAGCTATACTCCATTGTTATTCTAATAAGTGTCTATTTTTCTTAAGTTAAATGAGGCATAGACTCAACTGTGAATGTCAACAAATTCCTGATAAAGATGTCCCCATAAAATTTTACTTTACATAATTTATATTTCATACACATAAATGATGTATTCAAAAAATAGAAAAGTGTATTTATCATTTACGCAAAGCCATTTGAAGACATTAATGTAACATTTCAATTTCAGATATGAAATTTATGATTCAATAATAATTTGCCACAGAAAATTGTTGTATGTTAATGTTCACATTTAGCTAGTTTAATTCATACACTTTCTTGCAACATTTAGTTAAATATTATCTATCAAATATCTGAGTATATAACAATTCATAAACTTTTTATATTTATCTATGGGGAGATAACTATAACAAATAACTTAGAGAAATCCTAAAACATACCAGATGAGATATATTTACATGGAACCATCCATTCCATAGAGTTGTAACAGATTTGACTGAGGGCTATTCCAAAATTAAGTGTATGGAGAAGCTGAAAAGGCACTTACCTAATATAAAAAGATCGACGGGAGGTTAAAAACAACTCTTTTCACACAAATTGCGACAATAATGCATAAAATATCAACTTAGAATTGAATGGGTGGTGGTTTTGGCGAAAAAGTGCCTTCAAACCCATACAATTACATTTCACCTTGGAATAGCTGATAATAATTCAGTAACAAATTCACTGATTAAATTATTTAACCTTTCCATGGTCCAAACAAATCCTATGGATATTTTGTCATTTGTTGAAATGTATGATTCAAGTTTGATGAACAACTTGTCAGTTTTCCCACTGAATGTCGGTGGTACTCTCTGACTTCCTCCACTAATAAAAAACAAGCTGCCACGTGCTAAGAGTGGTCTAAAACACCAAGCAATCAATTGATCTTAGTCTAGACTTCATATTAAACATCAATTTGATCAGTGATAGAGAAGAGTTTCACAGAAGCAGCAAAATTTAAGATAATAAAGGGGAATAACTCTTGACATTTTAATGTCAAATCCATCAAAACTTTACATATATTTCATTTTTCATTACATTGTGTACAAATTTCAAAACATTTGATCAAACCATGCTTTATTTTCATGCAGGAAAGTCATTAGTTTGAGAGGAGCAGAGGATACACTAGATGCCTACCTGGTTTGTAAATTGTCAAAATCCATGTTTTTCTAAGGTATGTTTTAGCATAAAATGACAAAAGATATACACAATACCAGAAGTGTTAAAATATTTTGTCAAGCATTAATTCATAATGATCCACAATTCTAAGATAAATAATTTTGTTTAGATAATTTTGGGAAATATAACTATCAAATCTGTCAAATTCAAACTTACATTTATGGTCCAAATGGCACTTAACTGCATTTATCTGTATAAAAATTGTAACAGATGGACATAGTTAAAAACCCCTATCTATCATTACTCATGTGAAATAAAAGTAAAATAAACAGTTGAGAAAGCATTTATTTAGGAAAGACAAAGAGACCAACATGCAATGCAAGAACTATATTCTCTCCTGAAACTTTTTCAGAAGGCAATAAATGTGAATTATGAAGTTTTATTCACCTTCTTTAACTTTAATGCTAAAATTAAAAGGATTAAGTTTTTTTAAAATACAATACTAAATCTAATTTATCACACTATTGTTGACAGTATAACTACTACAACACAAGGTTTTCTTAAACAATAATCTATTTACCTTTTACTTACTTTAATACAGGTGATTCATCTGTCTCGCCATTTTCCCTTGCTCGAAAACTTCTGATGCTACTGGACTTTGATTTTGATAGTGTTACATTTCCCTTCTTGTTTGAAGTTGTGACCCCAAATGAGATAGTTGATGTAGAATGTTGGGTTCCAAGTCTGTGTTTATGATGTCCAGTTGTTCTGCATTTAAGTAAAGGTGCAGATGGCATAATATTAATAACAAACTAAAATTTCCCTACATGTAGTATTCAAAACATCAATCATTTTGAAAGAATTTTCAAAATCCAGTGTAAAAAGAAATATGCTTTTTACGATTTCTTTTGAAATCTTACTAATGAAATTTAGAATTTATTTGTACATTTAAAAATAAAAACAGATTTGATAGATAACATCCACTAACTTTCTTTTATTGATTGAACCTTTTTAGATTAATCAACTTGACAGATATCCTTGTTTGTATGGTATTTTATCATGTACATAGTATTGACAGAAAGTTTACAAAATATCATTGATAATACATAATAGTATCAAATAACAGATACTTAAATAGTCATCCCGTTTTAAACTACTATGTATCAATGTTAAATAACGTACAAAGGTTAAAGTTTTTTGATAGTGTCATGTTTTAATTGTATGTCAGTACAGTCTGACATTAAAATTTCAATTTAAATGATTTTCAAATTGTTAAAACTAATGGTGACAAAAAAGTGCATGAATTCTTGAGTTGAATTGTATTTTGTCTACCTTTTTACCCTTTTGTCGATTTATCACTTGTGGCAGACATTTTCGTTGGAGTTTTAATTTCGTTTATTACATAGATAGAAATTATCCACAAGATTTAGAACCCCAACAAAATAATAACCTATGAAATCATTATTCTTCCTAGGTCCCTTTTTGGTAATATAGCTCCTCATATACATTCTTGAATTTCTAAATATTTGGTTTGAGCTGTTCTAATGAAGGTAAATGCTAACGACTAATCACGTTTAGGTGCATACTTTTGTAAATTACCCAGAAAGTTTTATTCTGAAAGCAATTTGCACTGCATAGTTGACAATTGCTAAATTATGTGGTGGTTTGAATTTTTTTTTAAGTCTGTTTAATTTTATACAAACTGCCTCAATGGTCTTGTGGTACTTTCATGCCTTGAGTGGTAGTGGCTTTGACTTCTGAATGGGTCAAACCAAAGACTTAAAAATTGATATTGGCTGCTTCTTTGTTAATTATGGAGCAAGAGTAAAGACTTGTCATCTTGTGGAGTCAGTATTTTAAGTGTCCAGGTATGGTGACATTATAAATGTACATACCACATAAATATATTTCCTTCCTGACATGCATGTTTTATTTGCCACTGGACATAAGACACCAATCTATAATTATCAGCATCATATCAAATGCAATTTTTTTCACTATCTTAATTTAAGCCTCAAGGTTGAGACAATTTTTGATTAAGAATGTGAAAAGGATGTTTACTTTTTTTGAGTACCTTTATCTTAACTGAAGAATATGATTACAAGTTATATGCATGTAAGATACAAGAAATCATTGATTCTTAAATTGTTGGAAATACTTATTTAATAATATGTACGTTTCCCTGTAATTCAATAAATATTTTTGTAGTATCATGGAAGAACAAAATTTAAATATTACTTCCATGGTAGTATCAATAGGTGTAATATATCCTTTAAATAATGATTGATTTACAAACAAGTAATGTTTTGAAATACATTGTACTGAGCTATTTGCAATTGAATTAAAATTCCATTAAGAATATAAAAACTCATCCCCCCTCACCACCCCAAAAAAAAAAGAAAGAAGAAAAATAAGATTCCATAGCAGGCTATAATATGACTATAATCTTACCTCTGTTTGTATTATTTTCCAATATTTATGATGATCATACAATAAATACAAGTCTTCTACAAAGCAAGAAAGAATACAGATATTCTGACAGATGCACAATAACTATGGAGGGTGTCATCTTAACAATAAACTTGCTCTCTTTATTGGTGATGTTGATGATGAATAATGGTGTTACTAACATTCTGTTTATGATAGAATCTCAAGTGGTTCTCTCAGCAGATCTATCTGGAAATGACAATCTGGAAATGACAAATTGATGCCAACATTGACAAGTTATTAATTTCCTTGATAAAATCAATTACTGTTATTGTTTCCAAGTGTTTTCTACTCCTTTATCATTAACATCTTCAACCTTCATTGGGCATTTTTCTGTTTTAATTATGATAATGTAATTAAAGTTAGTGAAATTAAAAAGAATGTGTCAATAGGTCACAATGCCCCTTCCTTAAGCTTCCCAGTAAAATTCAACTCATGAATAATGAAAAGTTAAATATTGTCAAAATCAAAATAGTGACAAAGTGATTTTTATGATAATTCTATTGTTTTCACATGTTATGTACTACTAAAACAAGTTTAATATACCTGCTTTTGACAGTTTATGTGCCTGTCCAAAGAGATGGGTAAAAAGTTGTGAAAATCAGGCAAAGGACTTCATATTAAAAAAAAACATAAGACAAAAAGGGATCATTTTAAAGACATGTCAAGGTTAAAAAAATACCTACACTTAAATAAGTCAAGAAAAAGGCAATCACACAAAATCAAGCATTCATGATCTAAGAGTTAAATGAATAAGAACAGCTTTCCCATGTTCCCCACGATGCACATGTTTTATCTGTCCAAGGGCAATAACTTCAAATGTTTTTTTTTTTTAGATCTTTTAAATTTTACATAATGAATGGAGAATGTGTCCCATGGACACAGATGATGCCCCACTAATTTCATATAACATTATAAAGGGACCCAACTCCAGAAGGGTATATGTGACACCACCCAAATTTGAACTTGATCTGTGTTTTGTGGTAATAAGCATTGCGTACAAGTTTCATAACATTTGGTTGAGGCAAAGTAAAGTTAGAGAACAGAAACTAATTTTGAGACATACAAGGGTAACACTTAATGCCCCTTTCAATCCTCCAAGAAATATGAAGCCTTAATTAAGGTCACTAACAATTTAATTTTCCATATATCATTTATTTCCAAGGGGCATTACTCCAGTTAATATAATTGATCAGCGCTGATTTTGGAAATAATCCAAGACATTGCTAAAATAAACAATGGGCGGACGGACTTCAGGTATTTCTATGTACCCAGCACTGTGTTGCACTTGGGACAAAAAAACCTTAACCTCTTCTTTCAAAAACATACCACTTTTTTCACAGATGCTAAGCCAGAGAATTAACATAGTAGTAACAGCTTCTGGACATTACCTTATAAAGACATTCTTATCTGTCTATATGTTATCATAGATGATTTATTTACACAAGGTTATTTATAGATATGAAAAATGAATGCATTTTTTTGTATATATACAATTTATCGATACAAGGCTTAATAAAGAGCTGTGCCATGTGCACATGATACGCCCGTTGCTTTTTCATAGAATAATGTTCCATAACTCCTCAATGTCATATCAAAAATTTATAAAAAACTAAAGGGAGGTTATTTTAATAGATATAAACCAATCACCAAAGTTTCATGAAAACTGCTCAATCCCCCTTTTTTGATGAATACAACCTCAAAACTCGAAAAGGTAAAATCTAAATTTAAATAAATCAAAAGGGAGTTCACATCAATAGATATAAATAATTCATCAAAATTTCATGAAAACTGCTCAAATCATTTTTTAGTTAAGGTAATATCTAAAATTTATATCAATTGAAAGGGAGCTCACGTCAATAGATATAAACAATTCACCAAAGTTTCATGAAAACTGCTTAAAGCATTTTTGAGTTATTGTCTGAAAACTGGAAAATCCCCCTTTTTAATAACAACCCGTAACTCGGAAATGTAAAATCTAAAATTTATAAAAATCGAAAGGGAGCTCACGTCAATAGATATAAACAATTCACCAAAGTTCCATGCAAATTGGTTAAAGCATTTTTGAGTTATTGTCCAATATGTTGACGACGGACAGATGGACAGACAGACAGGCGGACGGACAACGGTATACCATAATACGTCCCATAAAAGGGCGTATAAAAACAGGTAGTAATATGAAGCTTGTTGTGCATTTCAACCCTGTATGGTGCCAAGTATAACTCATAATTATATTGGGGACAATGCGATTTTTTTGTTTTTTGTTTTTAAATGTAAGTTATAATGTTCAGAAAAATATTAATTTTGGACATAAGGTCCAGGGATGCAGTTATCGTCCTTCGATTTTCATTGACCACCTCGGTGGTATCGTGGTAGCATGTTCTGATTGAGTGCAGGAGGTCGTTGGTTCGAAACCCGGCTGGGTCAAACCAAAGACTTTAAAATTGGTATTTGCTGGGTCTACGCTAAGCATGCAGCATTAAGGAGTAAGAGCAAAGACTGGTTAGCTTGAATCAGAATAATGTGTCCGGGTAAGGTGACATGTCTTCCTGCGGACTGTTACCTTGGGAACTAGCACTTTGAAAATCCTGCTCAGTGTGTCGGTCTAATACAAAGCAGGGATAAATTTCATATAACATTAACATGTTCTCGTCCTGAATATGCATATTAATTTGCCCAGGCCCCCCCTTTTGTGGGAAAAATTTGATTGATTATATTGGGAATCACTGAAGCATGACTGGAACAGGCCCCCCTAAGGTCAGTCAGTGGGCCCCCCCTTACAAAAAGTTCTGGATCCGCCTCTGAATAAACCCCACAAACAGCATAGTAGCAGTACAATATAAGAATTAATTATTCAACAATTTTATAGGGGTGGAAAAGCATTGACTATAGCATATTTGTATATCTTAGCTGCATACTCATGCACACATTCTGACACAGCTTTTACGGCCAAACAACATACTACTAAGCAGGATATTGCTGTCTGTTAATCTCTGATGCACAAGGTACAAATTATGACATATGTAGGTCTCAGTGATCTAAATTCATTTTTAGGGTTTAGGACTGTAGTGGTGCAATATCATTAACAAATTACAAGCTTTTGAGAGAAGGAACAGCCACGCAATAAGTTCAAATGGATTAAAAGATGAAATACCACCTTATATTTTTACAAACATTATGTATTATAATTAAAATCAATTTTGTTTAGAATTTACTTACAAGTTCTTTCTTTCAGTGATGTTCATTACTCATTCTTGACCGACTTGCTCTACTGAAGTTATATTATTTTGTCCTTTTTTTTGTTGAGCTGTGCTGTAAATCAAAACAAAATATTAGATCGATTATTGGGTAAATGTACATCGCAGGATCATATCAACTGGCCTTTTATAAGCAAGAACATCAGCATGTTTAAAACATGCAGCTAGATTTTAACATCTATTAGTGCAGAGATGTTTATTTCAGCATGCAATATTCATGCCTTTATCTATTTTACATTTTGAACTTTGCCACAAGATGCATTTTTAGCATGCAATAAGCATCCTGGACCTTTTTGTAGGTATATATGTACTATAATGTCTCATTTTTTTAAATCTGTAAATTAATTTTTATTTCAATAAAAAAAACATTTGTTTCCTCGTTTTATTGGTTATCCCTGAAAAAACCTGTTTTCTCATACCACATTTAATTGCACTCAGGGCCTTATCCAAGAAGAAATGCTAAGAAATGGACAAGTATTTAGCAATCTATTTTGTTATTCTTTTAGTTTATCTTTACTTAAACAATCTTTTTAAGTACAACAAAAGGATTATATCATACTATCCTAGCTTTAGTTTTCAGTGTTATTTGTCATTTTTGAGCTGAAATTTTTCTTTGGGTTAAGAGAAGGGTGAGATGAATGTTATCTTTGGAGAAACATCTATAGGATTTCCTATATAACAACTCTTTAAGATCTTATTAAAGAATAAAAGTACATTTTTTAAGGTAAAAATCTAATTTTTTATCTTTATTTAGTGATCTATAGACATCAAATGGGCTATACTTACCCAAATTTTGAAGAATTGTTCGATTCTTTTTATTTGTTGAAAACTGACTGCTTGACATACTTGGACAATCAATCCTGACGCACCAACCATTGGAGAACAGCATGAATCTTTCACTAACATAAATTATCTTGATTTTGCCTCATAACAAAAAAGGAAAAAGTTAAAAAAAAAACAACAAAAAAACAAGGAGTTTCATGTGTCATCATAGTTAGCATACCAAACTTGTCTTCAAAGTATAAGAAATTAGGAAGTAGAACAGATCCAAAAAGTGCTCACCTGGGTCAAGCTGCTGGCCAAACATGAAGTCAGACAGGAATGAAAATGAAATCCTTCTGTTCAGTAGTACCTGAGAAAGTGTAACAAAAGTATTTGTTGGACAGACAGAAGAATGTCACAGCAATAATCACAGGATAGTTCTAGAATCTTTCAGACTGGTGCAAATAGGCAAGGTATCTTATTAGAAAAGATTTTTTTTCACATTCTCAACCCCTACCATGAACCATTTGAACAACACTAATTGGTTCCTGTATTAAAGTAATTGCAGAGGAGAAGATGTTATCATATTACTCCTATTTTCTATCAAATTTCTTTTGGTAAATGTTCTTCTTTGAATGTCAATATAATTATTTGTATTTCATAATAAATGTAATGCAAAGGTTAAAGGCCAAATGGTCCTTTGTCTGCATTGATAAAGTTAAAATTTATTGCATGGTCATTTTCTTTTTTAATTCACATTTTCAATTAAAAATTCTGACATATGTGCAGTGAAATATTAATTTAAAATGAAAATTTTGTATTTAATTCAATATACAATGGACAAATTTGAATTGAGTAATTACATAATTTGAAAAAATGCAAGGTTTAAATGTCATATTGAAATATTGGTTACCAAATTAGTTCTGTATTAAAAAGTAAATTCCTCTTTCTGATGGGAATTTTTAATTCAAAGGCAACCAATCTTAATTACCAGAAATTTTTATGTTGGAATTCAGACAAAAAGCGAGGACACACAGATATGACTCACCTTTAATGTTCATATTTGATGATAGGGGGCTGCTTAATATCCAGCGGCAACTATTACATGTTCATGTAATATGAAGATACCCTGCTTTGTATTAGAACGACATGCTGAGTAAGATATTTAACATGCTAGCTCAAAATGTAAAAGTCTACAGGAAGATGTTATAGTGCTAATGTTTCTGACTCTTGAGCTGACCAATCTTTGCTCTTACGTGGATTGAAACCCACCACCTAACAAACATCTGACAACCATATGCTACCATGAAATCCACTAAGTTAAATATTGGGTCAATGTTTATAATATGCAACTGCATATATGAACACCTTAAATCTAATAAATTCGTTCTATCACATATTGGCAATAGGGTAACTTAAATTCTAACAAGAAATGATTGTAACAGGATGCTGTTACGAAGTCTCCCAAACGAAGCTCCCATAATTCGTAATTCCCATGGTCGCCTGAAATTGGGCAAGGTCCAATGAAAATTGGTTTGGTCCAGTAAAGTTTTATGCATTAGTGATGCCTGGGGACTAACCCTGTATATCATTCAAATCATCTTGGCATGACAAACCAGAATATATATGGTTTAGGGGTGGGGATCTCGACCATTTACAAGATATTAGAACTTTCTCAAATGGCAGGGGGTGGGGGTGACCCCTGGGGACTAACCCTGTATTTCATTTGATGTGCTTTATCATGACAAACCAGAATATATATGGTTTAGGGTGGGGATCTCGACCATTTACAAGATATTAGACATTTCTTAAATGGCAGGGGGTCAGGATGACCCCTGGGGACTAACCCCATATATATCATTCAAACCATCTTCGCATGACAAACTAGAATATATATGGTTTAGGGGTGGGGATCTTGACCACTCACAAGATATTAGAACTTTTTTAAATGGCATGGGGTGGGGGTGACCCCTGGGGACTAACCCTGTATTTCATTTGATGTGCTTTATCATGACAAACCAGAATATATATGGTTTAGGGGTGGGGATCTCGACCATTTACAAGATATTAGAACTTTCTCAAATGGCAGGGGGTCGGGATGACCCCTGGGGACTAACCCTGTATATCATTCAAACCATCTTAGCATGACAAACCAGAATATATATGGTTTAGGGGTGGGGATCTTGACCACTTACAAGATATTAGAACTTTCTTAAATGGCATGGGGTGGGGGTGACCCCTGGGGACTAACCCTGTATTACATTTGATGTGCTTTATCATGACAAACCAGAATATATATGATTTAGGGGTGGGGATCTTGACCACTTACAAGATATTAGAACTTTCTTAAATGGCAGGGGGTGGGGGTGACCCCTGGGGACTAACCCTGTATTTCATTTGATGTGCTTTATCATGACAAACCAGAATATATATGGTTTAGGGGTGGGGATCTCGACCATTTACAAGATATTAGAACTTTCTTAAATGGCAGGGGGTCAGGATGACCCCTGGGGACTAACCCTGTATATCATTCAAACCATCTTCACATGACAAACCAGAATATATATGGTTTAGGGGTGGGGATCTTGACCACTTACAAGATATTAGAACTTTTTTAAATGGCATGGGGTGGGGTGACCCCTGGGGACTAACCCTGTATTTCATTTGATGTGCTTTATCATGACAAACCAGAATATATATGGTTTAGGGGTGGGGATCTCGACCATTTACAAGATATTAGAACTTTCTCAAATGGCAGGGGGTCGGGATGACCCCTGGGGACTAACCCTGTATATCATTCAAACCATCTTAGCATGACAAACCAAAATATATATGGTTTAGGGGTGGGGATCTTGACCACTTACAAGATAATAGAACTTTTTTAAATGGCAGGGGGTGGGGGTGACCCCTGGGGACTAACCCTGTATTTCATTTAATGGGCTTTATCATTTAGAACATTTTCAATTAAAAAGATTGTGTCTTTCACAAACGGTTTTCAATTTATAATCATTTGAAAATTTTTAAAAATAAAATCCCATAGGGTTCTATAGTAAAACCCTCTTTTCTTTTTGCCCCTCAAAGTACCCCTTTATAAACCCCATTGCACAAACAAAACCCTGATTGCACCACTAGACATGTTAGTCTAACATATTGTGAAACCCTAAGTTAATCTGACAAGCGGTTTTGGAGAACGGGTGCGGACAAGTTCAAATTTAAAAGCGGCGGAAGAGGAAGAAGAAGAATAATAATAATAATAATAACTGAGCAAAAACAATAAGTCTTCCCAAACTTCGTTTGGGAGACTTAAATATAGAGGCCCCACAGGGCTAATATCATTCATTTCAGAGGCGGATTTAGGGGGGGGGGGGTGGCCAGGGTGCCTGGGCCGCCCCTTTTTGTGGGAAAAATTTGGTTGATTTTTCTTGTTAATTATCCCCATGTTAGTAATAGTATCCATTTTGGCTAGACAAAAGGTGTTGCCTAACATCCTTTTTGACTCTGTCAAGTTGAGTTTTAACTGGACCAGAAGTTTCAAGAAAACATTAAAAAAAAAAGTTTACAATGGATGCCAGATGATATAAAACATATCAAAGAGATGCTCATATCCCACATCGGACCTTTCAAAATGTTTGATGTGCTCAAGAAACTGGATATCTGTCACTAAGAATTGTACAGCATCTCTTAACAGAGATTCTTATGGTTCAAGTGTGTTAAATTGCTATGTTGCAGTTTCATTGATGTGTTTTTACCAAATATGATCCTACATCAAGTACTGCTGTTCATCAGATTCAATGCAGGTACCAGTGAGTAAATGAAAAATGCCAAGGTGAATTTTCATTAACTATTGCAATTGAATATTTAATTTGTATGAATCAAATATGGACACAAATATAAATTTTACATTTCCCCTTCAAAATCACATGATCAAACACATACACAATGTCAAACAAAAAAGAAATGATTATAAAGTAATACATGTGTATAATATATTCGAAAAGTTGAGTTAATACATAGGTACATTGTATAATAATAAGATAGTCATTAATTGCTGGTAAGATAATTACTAATTAAAGATCACTGGGGAAGTCTTCATATGATGATGGTTTGGTGTGAAAGATATCTTAATTTACCACATTTCCCCCTAACTTCTCCTAATTCAGTTACTCCTTCAAAAGTTTCCCACTAAATGTGTTCATGTTAAAACAGTTTATGTACAATTGACTTGTAAATCGTTGACATTTATTTTCTTCAGTTCATATTTTAAGGTGTCCTTAAATAACATTAACTGTAGTTTAAACTAAAATTACTTTAACCCTTGATGAAATATTATCTTGACACCAGACAGATGGAAGATTGAATACTTTCCCTATGAAATAAAGTTATTACAAAATATTAATTTCAAGAAAGTTGCTAATTATTGCAACCAGCAAAACTGAAAATATTTAAAAATCACATGATTTAAATGTCCTACAGAATGCTACATTATCCTCTTATTATTAACGAGTGTACTAATATATACATATACATATCATTTATGTCAAAACCTTGATTAATGTTGATTCAATATAATTACAACTAATTTTGCCTATTGAGTACTGATCTGACTTTAATCTCATGTATGCATGCACTATAAATTGAAAGCACAAATTCTGTTCATTGTATGCCACATAAAACACGAAGTTTAGAATTAATATTCTTCACCCTCCTCTTCTCCTTCTTGATCAGCAGAATCAACACCAACTTCTTCATAATCTTTCTCTAGAGCTGCCAAGTCTTCCCTAGCCTCTGAAAACTCTCCTTCCTCCATACCCTCACCTACATACCAGTGTACAAAAGCTCTTTTGGCATACATCAAGTCAAACTTGTGATCAAGCCTAGCCCAAGCCTCAGCAATTGCAGTGGTGTTGCTCAACATACAGACAGCTCGCTGTACTTTAGCCAAATCACCTCCTGGGACAACAGTTGGTGGTTGATAATTGATTCCCACCTTGAAGCCAGTTGGACACCAGTCAACAAACTGGATGGTTCTCTTGGTCTTTATGGTTGCAATGGCAGCATTGACATCTTTGGGGACTACATCTCCTCTGTACAACATACAGCAAGCCATATACTTGCCATGGCGTGGGTCACATTTTACCATTTGATTGGCTGGTTCAAAGCAAGAATTGGTGATCTCACCAACAGATAGTTGTTCATGATAAGCTTTTTCTGCAGATATGACTGGAGCATATGTAGCTAAAGGGAAATGAATGCGTGGATATGGTACCAAGTTGGTTTGGAATTCAGTAAGGTCGACATTTAATGCACCATCAAATCTTAAGGAAGCAGTAATGGAACTGACAATCTGACCAATCAGTCTGTTCAAATTTGTGTAAGACGGTCTCTCTATATCTAAATTACGTCTGCATATGTCATAGATAGCCTCATTATCAACCATAAAGGCACAGTCAGAGTGTTCAAGGGTTGTGTGAGTGGTCAAGATGGAGTTGTATGGCTCAACAACAGCAGTTGAAATTTGAGGAGCTGGATAGACGGCAAATTCTAATTTTGATTTCTTTCCATAATCAACACTGAGACGTTCCATAAGCAGGGAAGTGAATCCTGATCCTGTGCCACCACCAAAACTGTGAAAGATGAGGAAACCTTGTAAACCAGTACACTGATCTGCCAGTTTACGAATTCTGTCAAGAACTAAGTCTACAATCTCTTTACCAATGGTGTAGTGACCTCTTGCGTAATTGTTTGCTGCATCTTCTTTACCAGATACCAATTGTTCAGGATGGAAGAGTTGTCTATATGTACCTGTTCTTATCTCATCTGAAACAGTATATATGAAAAAAATAAAGAAAATAGGCTACAGATAATGTCCTCACTCAAATATACATGTAAATGTACTTACTTGTTATCATACTTCTATGTTCACATCTGTAAAGGATCAATTTTCCATTTTTCTTAATTATTTGACAGATTTTATTTATAAGTATTCATGTAAAATCTGTATCATCAGTAAGAAATAACCTTAGTATGTGATCTTATCAGTAGTAATATATTTTTACCTTCATCAGGAACGCTAAAAGTTTAATATTTGAAGGGAATGCATAAATATGCAGCAATATTAGGAGCTATTTGACCAAAAGGGACCTAAAAATAATAATATTCATCTAAGGTCAACTTTGCACAAGAGATTTGGAACCTTAGTTTCTTGATAATTTCTCAGTTTATCAACAGGGAATTTTTGAAAAATATGTAATGAAACCATGTCAGTACCAAGGCACAGACTACTGATTTGATGATACCCTCAGAGACACTACAAGCGTCACAAAATCATGTACATGTACAAGGAAATAACCAATATTATCAAACCAGTAGCACTTTACAAGGATTGAATATTTTTTCTGGCCATTCCTATGTCAAAAATTTTTGTCCTAATCATTTTAAAAGAAAACAGTCTAGTCCTAATTATTAGTCAACTCACATTGATGGCCTGTCATTGATTTTTGTACTATAGTGCAACTTTGTCCCTACCAAATTTATACATGTATTGATTTATATTGTAGGCCCTTTTATTGGGATTTTTATTCTTAAGCACTTTTCAAAGGTGAACAAAATGTTTATATGTTAAATTTAGGTCGAGCAACAAACATTTCATACATTTCAGGACAAAATTATGTTGAGTAATAAATGAATCCTCATTTCCAAGGGACATAACCCAAACTCTGTAAGGACATTGATCTTCTAAATAAAGTCTCTAAAACCTTTAATCTAACCATATAAAAAAAAATTGTTTCCAGTAACCTCACCAACCGAACTCCAACTGAATCTTTTTATCTATAATCATAAAAAAGCTATTTCAAACCGGTTCTTGTGTTAGATTTTTTCTTATAATATAAAATTTACTTGATATAAAGGTTGGAAATGTTACATGAATCTTAAACATAATCTTCAAAATAATATTATCTAAAATTCCTACAGAAAATACATATTCTTCACTTAAGATTATTGTCTATTCTTATTATTAATATATTATGGAAGTTATTTAGAAGGATGTCAGTATACACTTTTATTCTTGATAAGTATAAACAATAAATATAAATCCTTCATTCACATTATGATTACACTTTCTAAGTTACATACATACATAAGAATGAAATAACTGAATATTTAGGTTTCGATACCAAATCAAAATTTATAACATTTTCTGAAACATATGACACCAGATATTCTTTAATAAATGGTTCCTTGAAAGAAAATGTCAAGAATTAAAATTCTTACTTCTACATATATATATATATAATAAATTAATTTCTGAGATAACTATCAGAAGAAAGTATAACATACCAACAACTGTAGTTTCCAGGTCAACAAATACTGCTCTTGGCACATGTTTGCCAGCTCCAGTTTCACAGAAAAAAGTGTTGAATGAGTCGTCTCCCCCTCCAACAGTTTTGTCAGAAGGCATCTGACCATCAGGTTGAATACCATGCTCCAAACAATACAATTCCCAGCAGGCATTTCCCATCTGAACTCCAGCCTGTCCTACATGAACACTGATGCATTCCCTCTGAAAATGTACAAGACAATTCCCCAATTACACAAGACATGCAAGAGTGGACACCTAGAAATGTCTTTTATGCATACTTTATAAATGACTGAATACTCGGAAGTTCTAAGGAATAAAGTCGTCATACAATTATCCCGAAATGTTGTCTACATGTAAATAAAAGAACAGAGTTCCAATGTCCCCCACATTGCACATATTTTATCTATCCAAGGTACAAAGGCAATAACTAAAAAAAGCACTTTTTTTTTGTTCTTTAAAACTTTTTATTAATATCTAAGAGAAATGAAGGCTTCAGAGCAAATGCAATGTGGTTTCCATTGTAATTAATATTTCCAAGGGGCATAACTCGTTAAAACTATTTGATCAGCGCTTATTTTAAAAAATGTCAAAGACATTGCTGATATAAACCTATAATATAAGTTTCATAAAATTCTGGCAATATTGTACACATGAGAGCGCTGACAATGCAATTTTCCATATAATTAATATTTCCAAGGGGCATAACTCTTTAAAAAAATAATTGATCGGCAGTGATTTTCTAACTCGATCAAGACATTGCTAATATCAACCTATGATATAAAAGTTTCATAAAAATCTGGCAAGAATTGTACACGTGAGAGCGCTAAAAAAACATGATGGACGCCAGGTATTTCTATGTCCACCGTAATGTGTTGCGTGGGGACAATAGGCCCAAGAACACAGTTATTTCGTAGTGCATTTCTTTTAGACAATAAATTCAAATTAAAAAAATCGCACCTGCTCTATCTCAAAAAGATTTTTACAGTGTAGTGTACTACTATTGATACAAATAATATCAAAATTATAGAAACTTCTACCAGCTCTAACTCAAAATATTGACAATTCTGTGTTAAGGGGGGCTAAAATTCAGTTTGACAGCTTCCGACATTCTAATTTTTGACCTTTTTTAACTGGACCAAATTACTACTTAACATAAAGATTCAGCACCCAAATTTTTTTAACATGTAATTTCATCCCCTTACTTAATATTTCATGCATAAAATTTCAAGAAATAAATTGGGAAAGTGTATCAAAAAAAAATGCAAGTTATACACTGTTCATACTAGGGACTATATTCGTAGACAACGAAAACCAAAGGACGATAACTGTGTCCTTGGACCTAATAGGATAGAAAGACTTGACCAATTTTAATAAAACTTTGCATGACCTAAGCTTAGGCAATTGTAAGATAGTTGGCCAAGTTTCATGGCCATAGGATATATATTATAGAAACTAGGGCCATTTTAATATTGAAATTTTGGATGTTTATTTTTGACGTTTAAATCATATATTTTCAACTGTCAAGATTTTGGCCTAAAAAATTTAAATATTGCAAAAATTTGCTTTTTAAATACTCTTGAATTTAATATAATAAGTATTAAAAGCAACAGAACACTCATTTGATTTATCAGATTTATTACAGTTATTCAAAAGTCAAATTTATATGAGCCTGTGCCTGAAAATAGAGATTTTCGAATTAAGGGAAGCCTTACATAAACATGCATTTTTTTCAACCAATTTGAAGTTTTTGAAGGTTTCTAACCATACATTATTCTTCCATATATATTAAATGTACTTTAAATGTAAAGAAAAGTTACAAAAAGCATACCACATGAGTATAAAATGGTCTTAGGCCATGTAAGACTGAGAATTATTTAGAGTCGATTTAGGCTGTAGCCAATATTTACATATAAAAATGCACACAGAGGCTATAAGGAAGTGAAATTTGTTACTTTTTGCTCATTTCTATGCTAAGATGTCATGATACAAGAAGTCTAATTGCAAAAGGACTCTTGAATTCAACTTTTTTTTGCAGACAGTACATACCTGCCAACCTTTGAAACCTTCAAAGAGGGAGATCTCCCTCTCAGCTATGACAGCTGAGGGGGAGATTTTGCGGCGAACTACATTTTCAAGTGAAATATTTGACATGTTTACTTATTCATCTACGAAACACTTATAAGAGTTATTAGTTATACTTTGTTTCTTTAAATATGGTTATATCCTACAGAGGTGTGTTGATTGTTTCTATCAACAACAAACAAATGGAAGTTTTTAACGACCTTGACTGGCTATACAGCCCTTGCACGGTTGGCTCGGTGCCCGAAGGCGTTTGTTGAGCGTTTAAATATTTTTGCAGTCGGACAGGATCAGTTGGAATTCGCCATTTAGGTAGGCCGCCATCTTGGATTTGGTGAGTTGTTTTGTTTTTGTTTTGTTGACTATTTTGTTGTTTACTTCACAACGGCTGCTTTCAGGGCCAGGTTGGTCAGCTTGGCAGCCCGCTTACCACGATGATGGAGTACTGGTCGATGAGTCTCGGACATAGTAATAACGATGACAGGAAGCATTATCAGGACCAAAGTTGTGAGACAGTGAAATGGTGGTCCATCATCTAACACCTAGGATACAGCCCTCGGACGTCACTCGGCATACCACTCCCCCATCCATAATGGGTTTTGGAGTGTATGTTGACGCGGGAATTAGCCCTACGCGGATTATAGCCTAACGTAGTCTGTACAGCGTTGGATTGGTTTCTGTCATCGAAAGTAGTAAGTCGTTGATCCATCTAACAGTAAACCCTCATCGAAGATAGCTGGTAAAGGAGAGCTGACCCAGCACGTCCGTTCAGTTGTAATGACTGAGATGTGATCAATTAAATTGGTTCAATACATATCTTATAAATTTCAACATTGAATAGAAGTATAGATCTTTTAAGATATTTTTAAAATATGATTATTTTTTTTGTCTTAAGGCATACAAAATCTTTTAATTGCCATCCTTTTATGATTTTTTGTTTAATTTGTATTTAGTTTATATTGTTTTATCAATTCACATTATTTTAATAAGGGTAACTTAAAACAGGATTAAACAGGGGAAGTAACCCGAAATTTCTTTGAAGTACACAAAGCTTGAAGCAAAAGTCGTTAATGATCGTAAATTAGTACTATGTTTGACACCCAAGCTGTCAAGTGAAGCCATTTAATTTCACATGGCCTGTGATTTACAGGTAAAAACAACCCTCATCAGTGACACAAAAACGTAATTATTGTTGACTTGTCATTCAAGGTTGAAATATCCAAAAGCGGGAGATTCTATACTCCCGCGCGGGAGGGTACCGGCAAGCGGGAGATTTCCCGAATTTTTTGCCATTTGAGCGGGAGTCTTCCGCTCAAAACAGGAGGGTTGGCAGGTATGACAGTATGGTCTGATGACCAGTTTTTCACTTTTCAATGGAAAACTTGCATGTAGTTTTAGTCTCATTTGGCATATATTTGAACCACTTACTATCCTAAAGAAGAAAATTATGGTAGCATATGAAATGAATAGGGTGTACTGATCATTGTAAAGTGTTTTTTTAACAGATTTAGAGAAATATTTGTGACGGACTACAGATTTTATGTACAAAGCTCTTCACATTTCACATACATAAAACAGGCCGTTTAACCAGGGACATAAATACAAATATTCTGCACTTTTTTTCTGTGATAATCTACTTTTCTCTAGATTCTGAGTTCACAAATGGTTAATTAAATTTGATTTAAGCATAGAAACACAAATATCAGGAACATAAAAAGCTGTCAGATAGAAAGTCAGCATGGCTCTTAGGCATAAAATGGAAACTGCTTTAAAATGCTTATTTTAGCCGTATAATGCCAAAATGGGACATTTTAACAGAATTTCTGTCAAACAATTGTAAATCCTTTACTTTTATTGAGTTTGACAAATTGAAACCAGAAAACCATTCAGGAAAGTTGCCAAAGTACAGAATCTACATTTACGGAAATCATCTCTTAGGCCCGAGAACACAGTTATTTCGTAGTGCATTTCTTTTAGACAATAAATTCAAATTAAATAAATCGCACCTCCTCTATCTCAAAAAGATTTTTACAGTGTAGTGTACTACTATTGATACAAATAATATCAAAATTATAGAAACTTCTACCAGCTCTAACTCAAAATATTGACAATTCTGTGTTAAGGGGGGCTAAAATTCAGTTTGACAGCTTCCGACATTCTAATTTTTGACCTTTTTTAACTGGACCAAATCACTACTTAACATAAAGATTCAGCACCCAAATTTTTTTAACATGTAATTTCATCCCCTTACTTAATATTTCATGCATAAAATATCAAGAAATAAATTGGGAAAGTGTATCAAAAAAAAATGCAAGTTATACACTGTTCACACTAGGGACTATATTCGTAGACAACGAAAACCAAAGGACGATAACTGTGTCCTTGGACCTAATAAAAAGACCCCATAAAGCCGGCAAATTCTATCTTTGTTAACCTGTCATTGCTAAAACAAATTTTTAGGATAATGCCTTTTAAAGCAACTGAATAATTTTATAGATTGATAATATAAACTTGTACAAGTATTGATTGTATGAGTACAATGAGAAGTTAACAAGAAACTACATTCTCAATGACCTTCCAGACAGACAATTTTTTTAAACCCAACTATCTATATTATGGCATGAATTTCTGATAAAACTAATGGTAAAATCAACATTGAACTGTTCAATCCCAACATGGAGACATATATCTGCATTCCGAAATTAGACAAATTTGATATATTTATTTTTTTCAGTGAATTGAGAAATACATGTTGGTTTGATAGATTTGTCGGAAACATGAAATGCATACTATTTACTTTTATATATCTAGGTCCAGCCATGCCTTAAAACTTAATATCTAGATGCACCAGTTTGTCTGTACTCAAGTAGATTTTGTGGTGTAAACACAGTTATATTTGTCAATTCCTTTTTAAGAACCTTAACAGATTTATTGCACTTTGTAATATTTTCCACAAAATCAAAAATAATTTATTTGGCTGAGTGGACCCAACCTGGTCAATTAATATTTTTGCAGATCCCCCTGGATCATACACTCAGTGATCTCATAACAAATTCTGATATCATTGGTCAAGTTTGCATGAATAATGCGACTTGAGTGGTTCAGATTTCTATGAATTACAGATCACGAAATTCATTTTCCTCCATCTGTCCATTATCCTGCCCTCAGGACAAATATTGAAATTTACATAGCTACATGAATAAATGCAAAATTATTGTAAATAGTTTGTCAAAATGAAAATTTGCTCTATAACCATAATTGAATATTATATACTGTAACCTTCACCAATCGAATACACCCAAAAAAAAATTTTGAAAATGAATCTATTTTTTTACTGTTACTTTTAGAACTCTGTGGTATTGAAACCTTATGATTAGAATCAATCGCAAACCAAAGTTTCCTTGGTCTTTTTTGTATTGCTAATACTAGTCTTACCATTTTCTATGAATTAACTCCTCTCCCTGCTGTCAATGAGCCGTTGAGAGTGTCTGTAATCAGAGCGGGAAAGTGTTGTAAAAAATACCGGAAATGGGAGGAGTCAACGGCGCTGGTGGTATAGACCTCCTTTTATCATTATCTGTGTACTCAGGAACATATATATTGTTAGATATACTGTTCCCAGGTGTACTATGATACGCGGATCTAGTCAAATTCTTGTATTGAAGGAGCTCCTGAAATATTTCAGAACTCTATATCTCGAATTTAGGATATTCATAAATCATTGAGGACCTCCACAAATAATCGGTAAAAATTGCTGTATTTCCGGAGGTCATAGACCTTATATATTTCAGAATTTCCATACTTAACCACTGCATAATCAGCGAAGGAGCCGGGGATGAAGCTGAAAATGATAGAGGACTCTGAATTACTCCTAGACTATTTGACTATAGAAAAGCGTTTTTTTTTGCTTGTCACTTTCAGAATACCACCCCCCCCCCTTTTTTTCACACACACTTTCCAGTCCACTCCCACGTTGCCGCTATTTTCGTCCATATTTCAATTTTAACAATTATAATTAGATACAGAGGCGGATCCGGGGGGGGGGGGGGGGTCCGGGGGTTGGAACCCCCCTTTTTTGACGATCAATGCATTTGAATGGGGACATATAGTTGGAACCCCCCTATATCCTGGGTTAGGAACCCCCCCTTTTATAAATGGCTGGATCTGCCCCTGAGATATGACAATATAAGCAACAAACATGAGACATTGTACAGCATATAATGTGACAAATAATATAATAGACATTAATAATAAAAATACATGTTTAACCCCGCCGCATTTTTGCGCCTGTCCAAAGTCAGGAACCTCTGGCCTTTGTTAGTTTTGTATATTTTTTTAAATTTTAGTTCATTTATATGTTTTGGAGTTTAGTGTGACGTCCATTTTCACTGAACTAGTACACAATTTTATTAAGGGGCCAGCTGAGGACCACCTCCGGGTGCGGGATTTTCTCGCTGCGTTGAAGACCCATTGGTGGACTTCGGCTGTTGTCTTCTCTTTGGTCGGGTTGTTGTCTCTTTGAAATATTCCCCATTTCCATTCTCAATTTTATTATAAGTACACTTGAATATTTTTTCCCATTATTATTTCTATGCCCAGTAGTGCACCTAATGTTCACATCAGCACAATTATCATTTAAGCATCCATTAGTAGTTAAATATTTGATTTCAATAAATTAATTTATGACCTGCATGTACGTGTCGCTTAGAACACGACCAAATGTTCAATATTAATCATCCGTGTAATGTGCTCTATGGGATGTTTACAAACTTACAACGGAGGAAATTTCTTGGCATGAAATATAGTTTGTTCATCTTCAGGAGACACCAAGGGACGAGGCTTAAGGATAGCTGCAACAGCAATCTTCCTCGTGTCAAAAGCAGATGAACAAGTAAACCCTATAACACAACCAAAAAAAAAATAAGAATAAACTTAAATTATTATCTGTAAAGATTGATATTTCTTCATCTGCAGGATACACCAAGGGACGGTACTCTCGGATATTATCATAGGCAGTAACAGCAATCCTCCCCTTGTCAGAAGCAGATGAACAAAATAAATAGAGAAATTGAAATCTGGTCAATTTACAAATAAATTAATAAATAACAACAATGGCTAATTATGTGAAAAATGTCATATCAATCTGCTATTTGCAGTAATATTATTGAAATTAGAGTTACAATGATTGTGCATTTTATTTTAAATCGTAAATCATCAGTACGAATGTTTGGAGTATGTTTTTTTTCTTTGTTTCTTTTTGTGATCCGTGTTAATTTATATGCCATCTGCGGGCCCTTTAAAAATGAATTATTCATAATTCATTTCAGTCAAAGGAGTTGTTGGTACACACGCCAATAACACGGCAATATAAGTATGCAAAAAATCTAAAAACATCAACAGGTCAACATACATTTTTCAACAATAGTTAAGAGTCAATACTAATGAAAAAGAATACTTTGTCAAAATCAATGGACCCACAAGAGGATGTATCACGCGGTGTAAGAAATGGGGAGAAAGATAGCACTAAATTTTCTCCTTGACAACATTAATGTACGTTTCGGCAAAAAAGTTTATTGACAGATTGTAGGTATTCCTATGGGCACCAAATGTGCCCCGTTAATAGCCGACTTGTTCCTTTACTGAACAACACTTACCGTTATCTTGATGATATTTTTTCGTTAAATAATCAAGAATTCTCTAACTATACTGCTGAAATTTACCCAAAGGAACTTACTTTAAATAAATCTAATATCAACAGCAATAACTGTCCTTTCCTAGATTTAGATATTTCAGTATTGCACCAGAAATTCTACACAAAAATTTACGACAAAAGGGATAATTTTTCTTTCCCTATTGTTAATTTTCCCTTTTTGGACGGTGATGTTCCTTTGGCACCGTCTTACGGTGTTTATATATCCCAACTCGTTCGCTATGCTCGTGTTAGTAGTGACGTTTTGGATCTCAATGAGCGTAATCTATGTATTACTAGTAAATCATTAAGTCAGGGATTTCGTTACTACAAATTACTTAAAACCTTTACTAAATTCTTTGATAGATACAAACATTTGGTCTGCAAGTTTGGCTGTACCTTGGTAGAAAACTTATTTCAAACGGAATAGCGCATCCTAAATTTTACGGTGATGTTGTAAACCGAGCCCGGAAATTTAGATACGATCCGGGTAAACTAATCAATCCTTTAAATAAACTCATTCTAAAAGGTTACATATTCAACACTGTAATTAAATCTTTGAATATTGTTTTTATTGGTGTAAATATTGATTCTGTTATCAGTGAATTAAAACCATACTAAATATTACACATATGTACTTTCACGGTACTACAATCTGTCGATACGTATAGTTTAGCATTGCACAAGGTCATGTTTTTCTCTGACTGTTAATGACGTCTTTACACTAAATCCATTGGATGTTGGATGTGTACTGATTGATATTTTAGTCTTAGATACATGATTTTTTTCATTAGTTGTTATTGGCTTTGAACTAGCTGTCAGTTACTGCGAGTACTCTCAGATCTGTACTTAGTGTCATTTTGTTTTGGGGATGTATAAGTACCCGTCCACGTCCACTTTGTGTTTTTTGTTAGATGTATTTCTGTGTGTATCCATCTGATGAGTTAAGCCTTTTTCAACTGATTTTTATAGTTTGTTCTTATGTTGTACTGTTACACCACTGTCCCAGGTTAGGGGAGAGTTGAGCGCTCACAAACATGTTCAACCCCGCCACATTCTTTATGTACCTGTCCCAAGTCAGGAGCCTGTAGTTAATCGGTTGTTGTTGGTTCATGTCTGTCATATTTGTTTTTCGTAAACTGTTTTATTATAAATTAGGCCGTTAGTTTTCTCAATTGAATTGTTGCATATTTTTCATGTCGGGGCCTTTTATAGCCGACATACGGTATGGGTTTTTCTCATTGTTGAAGGCCGTATGGTTGCCTATATATATAAATCGCATTCGGTGATATCACTAATGAGGGAAACCTAAGAGGATTTTGGTTACGACAAATGGGACAAGTCCGTAATCATCTGTGACACAAATATTCCATAACAGTCAAACGATACATGATGGCGTCCATAAAACTTTCATAGAAATTACTTCACTTTTATAGCCACAACGAATCTCAGATTCAATAATGTCCATGTAAGCATCAACCCCTTTCAAACAATTCATGATTTGAAACCCAAGCCCTAAAAATCGTATCAATCTTATGGAAGATTTATACTTAGGTACTGATGAAATGTTGCTATATAAAATGGAAAGTTCAAAATCGGAAAATGAAAAATATTTATTTGTCGTAAATTCATATTTGCCAAATTGTGATCAGATCCTCGTGTCAATTTCTAGATGTAAGTCAATACATGATCAAACCTAAACGTGTCTGTGATATCCTTTATTGCAAGTTCAATGGGATATATGTGATCAAGATAGCGGCAAGTGTAGTTAAAGAGTTATTGCATTTTTCTTTAGAACTTGAGCCCCGTTATGAAGTCTATATATTTGTACCAATAGGAATGTCGACTGTCAATTAAAAGTGCTACCTTGTATGATATGGGATTTACAAATGTATTATCTCCTACTTTTGATACTTTGAGATTTCTAATTTTGTTTGTTTTCAGTGTACCTACTTGTGAGAGTTTCTGGAGTAGCCTTTCTTAGTTACCTTGTTAGTTTAATCTTGACTTTCAAAGGGAGATAACTAGCCCGATTATCAATATTTCTGTACTGTTACGATATTACTTTGAAATTAATATTTCAGAAATTTTTACTGACGCAATGTTTACAGGTTATTACGCAAAAGACCCAGGTGTTACCATGCAATTTTGATATCCGTTTTTTTGTGTTGATTACTCTAGATTCCAAGTAATTTGCTTCGAGCATTATTGATGAAAAATAAGTCTCAAAAAGGCGCATATGTTCAACAGTTGCATTAAATAAGCATTGGTATCTTGTAATTTTGAATCATTACACAGAAGATACAAGGCTGCAAGATAAGGCTTGAAAGTCGGTCTAAATCGCAAACTAATGTGTATAATGCTGTAAACCACAGGTCTATGGTTATAAACATAACAGCCTGATCACATATTCCTTTTTTACATATAATACTGATTTGTTGAATTTTTAATTCCCGTCGAAAATTTACAATCATCATGCGAGATATTTTCCTGCTTAAGTTGGCTTCACCAGTTCGGTGATTGCACATGAAGTTTTGGATTACCAATAATTAGTTTCTTTAGTCATTTCAGAATATTTTTTGTAGTTGAAAAAAAAATAGAGCCTGCGAAACTGAGCACCTCTTGCAGCCACAAATGCCTGGTGACCTCTACCTTTGATCTTAAACCTTCTGCTCTCCTTTTGCGAAAACATTGTGAAAACCATGTTTATTTTAACAAAAAAAATACGGACGGAATTAACTAGTATTACACTCATATTTTGCAACTCTATCCGGTAAAATTTATTGTTCATTTATAGGGTTCGTGTTTTCGTCATCATATTCATCATACCACAATACAGGAATTACCAAAAGCATTGTACAGTACAACAACCTTCACCAACACCCTGCTCCTCCGGACAAAAATAGACACAAAACCAAAGATAAACAACAACAAACAACTTACGGTCCATATAGCCTGACTTGGTACAGGCATACAATGTGATGACAATTCTATGTACAAAGGGGTAAATTATGTACCAAACGTTATATAAGATTAAACCTCTTTCATCTTTATTTTTCTAAACATGTTCATTAAATATCGACCAAAGGTTTTGCCATTTTCATATTCGTTTTATTTACTGTCTTATCCTGTTTCTTCGTTGTTGTGCGCTTTCTGCATATAGTATAACAAAGAACAGGAAGCTGTATAAAATCATATATGGAAAAAATCCGTTTGCTATTATCATTATGGAAAAAGTATATCCACACCAAATCAATGCCATTACAGACCGACTTCGGCATTCAAATATTCCGAACAAAGTTTCTTGGATTTCATAGATCCAATTTCGGAAGACCTCTACAAACCCTACAAACATCGGTCTGCGCTGCTGTCGATTCCAGACAACAAGGCGATCCAAGTTGTCCATCAGATCACTGTTTGAAGAAGTGTCCGAAAAAGAGTCCGATTGCTCGGAAAAATCATCAGCATTAATTCTTCCATTGAGAGATTCATCACTTCCATCGAACCTAGGAAATGAAATGGCATCGACCCGACAAGGAAGCCGACTATCCTCTTCGACAGAAACATCCAGATCTCCTTCCATATCGCTTACTCGTTCTGATATTGAGTCATCGCTTTGTGTGGCAATAGACCGAACAGCAACATAACCTTCATCCTGAAACTAACAAATCAAAATCTTAGTAATTCTCCCCAAAATTATTTTTGGACCCAAGAAAACGTGAAATATTGATTGATCAAGTTTTGGCTATTTATATATAGCCATCTTAGGTAAGAAATCAATACAAGATTTCAAGAGTATTCTAAGAGGTCCAACAAGCTATTCTCAAAGCCAACAGCCAAAACACCTTTTATGCAAGTATAAATAAGCTTTACCAAAAAGCTTGCCTAATCTCAGCAACATTCAAAGTGGATATATCTTAAAATATTTACTGTGCATCTTTTAAAATAATAGTTACCTTGGCTTATATAAGACATCTAATAATTGAAAATATATAAATAATTATTATCTGTGGCATGACCATAATAATTTCACCGAAAGGTAAGGGTAAAAAACTGTTTGGTATTTTTTTCTTATGCCATTTTGTGGGGGGGGGGGGGGGTTACTTCCTCGTGGCTCCGTACTTTAATTTTAATTACATTGGTCAATTAGATCAAAGAAGCCTTTTGTAGCCGCAAATCCAGGATCTGTCGCTGTATAATCTGGAATCTTTATTATATTACGGACTCCTGAAGGTCGAGCAATTTGGGAAATTAGTATACGTACGTTTTGATGCACAATATATTCTACTTAGGATTGAGTGCTTCTTGTAGCAATTTTGATATGGTGAATAAGTGGTGACTGAAGGACATTTTATTTGAAGAGTCGAGATAAATTATCAACGGGTTAGGGTTAACAACTTAGGTTTTTTTTGGGGGGGCGCTCACAAACATGTTTACGATCGCCACATTCTTTTATATGTGCCTGTTCAAAGTCAGGAGACTGTAGTTGGTCCATGTCCATTATATATGTTTTTCGTGAATCGTATTGATATAAATTAGGCCGTTAGTTTAATCGTTTGAATGGTTTTACATTTTCGTGTTGGGGCCTTTTGTAGCTGACGATACGCTAAGGATTCTTCTCATCATTAAAGGCCGTACGGTGATCTATAATTGCTTATATCCACGTCAATTCTGGTAGATATAGACTAATTAATTAATTCATTGACAATCATACCTAATCTCATTATTTTTATATTAAAATGTTTGTTGGTATGACAATTAAAATAATACCGGGGAATATCAAAATAATAAGTTCATTCACGAAGGTTAAAGAATTTATTATGTCTGGCCCTTTTAAATATTTAATAGTGCATACCTGTATGGAAAAAAGATACTCGAAGACATGTTATATATGTTGAACTACAATATAACCAAAATAAACAGACTTGCTTAATATAATCAACTATCCGATGGAGGGCAAGTCAACTCTATTTGCAAATTAAGGCGAAGCATAAATAATTTGGCGGTTTTCGAACTTTAATGAAATGATCATTGCTCTATTATAAAACATATAAGTTTAAATAAATGTTGTGGGCAGGTTTCAAAACAAATTTAAAGTGAAGAAAATGTATTTTTGGTCAGGTTTAAAACAAAATAGAATGCTTTTACAGTATCTTTACGCGCATTCTATACATTCATAGATTTGCTTCACAAAGTTTTAATTGATCTTTAGGAGTATAATTGTTACGTACATCGTTCTTTGATATTCAGAGGCAGTTCAACAAGAACTAATTGCATACGACATTTCAAAAAAATCCGATGAAATAATTTGACTCTCGGCTTGGAAATTAAAACGAAGAGAGAATTATCTTGTTTTCTAATTGTTTTTTTGTAACCTTTATATCTATCTATTTCTGCCCGTTCCATGGACATGACTAATTCTAATTCCCAATAGAATGTGATCTTTTTTTTTCTTTGTGACTCCTTTGATTTATATTTGTTGCAAATATGACTACATTTGTAACGCTTATTTGTCCTACCTTTTTATCTTGTTCACGCCAGTTTTCAACAAAATCTTGAATGGAGTAATTGACGTACATTCGCCTGTTCAGAACTGATGAAACTAGTGTCCTTTTTCGACATGTCGGACAAGAGAACTTCAATCTTGCGAATGGACATTGAGGAAATTGTTCTTTTGTCAGTCTGGCAAGATTTTTAAGGCAGCTGAAATTATAAAGACAATTTGTTTTGTGCATACTGATGGGACTCGAAACAAATTTTTCTATTTTACATCGTGACAATCCGAACCTGACAAGCAAGTTTATTGTGGAATTTTCACGCTTGCGCGATTTCTTATTTTATATCTTCGTTTCATATATTTGTTATAATGAGCATTTATTCGTTTGTAGAATCTTGTAGTATTGGGCTATTCTTACCTTGTACAAAAGCTGTGTCCACATTGCAGTGTATGTGGTCGACGGTACACACCAAGACAAATGCTGCATCGAAGAAGCTTACTCCAAGACGTAAAAGAACTATTTGCGTCTACGATTTCCATAATACAAAAGTGCAAATCCAGCCATATATTATACCTTTACTTGACAAGTTTGGTGAAGTCTTGACCGGCGCCATGGTAAAAGCACAACTATTAGTGACGTCTGTGTGCTTTTTTGGAATTGTGACGCTGTATATAGTTGCTGTTTTCTGATTTTCCCGCAACAACAGAAGAATTACTAGTTGCTGGTGGATGTAGTAAAGCATAGAATAAATGATGGGAAGCAGGAGCCCTAGTCCAAAGAAAGTGACATTTGCTGATGAACAACCGAGACACAGTCATTCTCCTATTCCCTTGATACGCGACAACATGTCGTTCCTTCATAGGCGATTGGTAGAAATGATGGAGGAAGCTAGACAGCTCCGTGATGAAACTTCGTCGTTGGTGGGGGATTATTTAGATTTAGAGAAAAAATTCAGGAGTCTTAGACTAGTGAGCAAAGATACTATGAAAGAGGTAGAACAGCACAATCAGAACCTTGACGAAGTGATTTATCTCAACAAAGTAATAAGACATCTAAAGGATGCTGACAGTAACATGCAATATGTGCCTTGTGTAGTGTATAAGAATGATACATCTCGATAGAGATAACAGTGAGCCATATACAAGCAGCAAAGAGTACATCTATGGGGCATTATTTCACATACGGTAACGTTCGGATAAAAAGTGTTGGCAAACACTATCAGTGTAATTTAGATGAAGAGTTTGCAACTGTTAAAATATGAAAGTGTTTTATTGTTACTTATACTTATCATTTTGCTTTTGCTTTCAATAATTTTGTTTCAAGATCTATTGTTCATTTTATATTTTGTATTTCCAATGTATTTTCAATGTAATAAATCAATGTTTAAGTGTTTTGTTATTCTTTTTTTTTATTTAATCTATTGCTTAATTATAGATCTATTTGCATAAGTCAATTTTCGCCAATATCAGTCATTATACGGACGCAGGCGAAAGACTGTGTTTCCAGTAGTTCAAAAAACGGATTCTTATGAAATCGTGTGCCTTCTTTTACTTTTTAGGGATCTTAACCAAAGTAGATCTATACTAGATTAAGCATAACCGTAACCTATACCTAACCCTGACCCTTACAGTAAAAGAAGTTAAAAAAAATTGCATGCGATCAGCGCAAGTGGTATTCAATATTTTATCGATATTTATGTGCATTTGATACAAGTTCCCAGATTCATAATTTATTTATTTTCGTCTTTTGAAGAAAAAAACGATACATATATAATTTCTTTCCGCATTAAAATGAACTTGCATGTGACTAATTGCGCGTAAAAAAGCAAAGGCAAATTTTCTCTTTATTTATTTCAAAATCAGGGTCATTTGCACACGTCTACGAATCATTGTTTCTAAACATTATTCAAACCAGATTACAAATGCTTATAGACCTTTCAAAAACACAACTGATCAAACATTGAAAAGGAATGTCGTGATATAGCAATTCATTTTAGAATATAAAAAAAGATAGAGAGGACACCAATTTGTACACATTTTCCACCAGAATACTTTATAACTATACACGAGTTGTCTCGTAGAGAGTCGACATAATAATGCAATTCAATATCTGCGATACATTTCAAAACAGGAATTAGAATGAAATAAAATTTTATGAAAGAAATGTATATTTTTACAGCAGTTTAACCTTCATTACAAATTTTGTTTTATTAAACAACAAAACGATTTGAAAACAGATGTGTATCAGTCAATGCTGACAGTTATAAGTCAGAGAAACCATGGTTATCTATTAGTTGAAATTTGGCTTTGAACAAGCTTCCATTATCTGCGAGTACTCTTAGTTCGGTAATGTGTCTTTGTGTAGCTGCATGCCTTTTTTGGGGTGCTTGATAAAGATCGAATGAGTCAAGCCAACTAATTTTTGATGTTGGTCCTTATGTTGTGCTGTAACAACAATTTCTCGGGAAAGGGCAGGTTGTGCGCTCAATTTTTCCTCACCACCTTCTTTATGTGCCTGTTCTTAGCCAGGAGCTTTAAATCCAGTAGGTGTCGTTGGTTGTTGTCTGTCATTATTATTTTTCGTTTTGTGTTAGTATAAATCATGACGTAATTTTTTTGGAGCTGTTTCTCATTAAGCTTTATGAAAAAGTATGATGATATCAAAAGGGTCCATTTGATATACAAGCGAAGAATGAAGGACCACAACATGACCAATCAAATAACAAGAAATGAATTCTGATGCACCAAACGGAAGGGTAATTTCCGCTCCTATGGTAACCTAATATACAGATATGCCTTTAAAGGTCAAATGAGTTATGAAGTGCTTTTCCTGTACTGATTTTTTATTGTATGTTCTTTCGTGTACCTTTTCTTTGTCCTGTGATCGAAATAAAAAGGAAGAAGTTTTTAGACCCCAAAAACTGTCTTATCCTGCATAAAGTTCATATGCCTTTCCAAAGTGTCAGGAACCTGTCAGTTGTGGACTTGTGTCATATTTCAATGTTTGTTATTTGTAGAGTACAGTGTTGATGTGGTGATGACAGATCTTTGATAGTCTCTTTTTAATCCATTTACAGCTGTTTAGACTCGAGTTTGACATATTACAAAGACACTTGGTTGTTGTATGTTGACCTCTAGATGATTTTTTTATTATGTGTGTCTTTTTTTTTTAACTATTTGCCACTGGACATTTATCAAACATCAATACATCAATCAATCAGTCGTTTTTGAATTAAGGATTTTTTTATAGCTAATGTAAGTCCGCCAATATGGAGAGGTAGCAAGTACCAGAATACCACGAGATTCTCTGAACATGATTGCATATTAGCATTAAGAGAAATGTTAAATAGAATTGCACTTGTATGCAAACAAGATGAAATCACAGGAACGTCACATCATGTACTCGAGCGGTCCAAAATTTGTTGGTTTAGTATTTTAAACAAATATTTTACGAAAAGATTTTCTCGGGTTTAATTTCAAAATAGATGGAAACACAAAAGTTTTATATAAAATGTATTAAATGTCGATTCATATTTTGCCATACTTTTACAGGAGGAATGGCTAATGTCCCATTAGTTTGTTTAACTCTGAGTCGAACTAGAAAACTGAGATTTGGATATCATAAAAGTTCTCTAAAGAGACTGAAATTTATCAATAGTTTTGCATACTAGTACATCAGTCAAATAAAAATGTTATTCAGCGTTGCATATATTAAAGACACTTATTTGGATACTATATTGTAACTGTTTTTGCATCGGAGGAAATAATTAACCAACATTAATAAATGTATATCAGAAAGACTATACACAGTTTTACATTCAATAGAATGTCTTCCTTGTACATTGTTTGATGAATCCTCAAATTTTGCCAAAATCAATAACACTTGCTGTTTTGAGGTATCTTAATGCATTCATAATGCACATATAAAGCTTTAATACTGTGAATTTGATTAAATATTGAAAGATTTTTTTTAAATGGACCAGGTGGGGAAAAATTAAGGAGAAATTCGATGTATCTCAAAGACAAGGGAAGGTCAGCGTATAATTGGAAATATTCTGAAAAAATGAGTCTATCATATTCTTGTTTTTATTTTGAATTCTGATGCACCAAACGGAAGGGTAATTTCCGCTCCTATGGTAACCTAATATACAGATATGCCTTTAAAGGTCAAATGAGTTATGAAGTGCTTTTCCTGTACTGATTTTTTATTGTATGTTCTTTCGTGTACCTTTTCTTTGTCCTGTGATCGAAATAAAAAGGAAGAAGTTTTTAGACCCCAAAAACTGTCTTATCCTGCATAAAGTTCATATGCCTTTCCAAAGTGTCAGGAACCTGTCAGTTGTGGACTTGTGTCATATTTCAATGTTTGTTATTTGTAGAGTACAGTGTTGATGTGGTGATGACAGATCTTTGATAGTCTCTTTTTAATCCATTTACAGCTGTTTAGACTCGAGTTTGACATATTACAAAGACACTTGGTTGTTGTATGTTGACCTCTAGATGATTTTTTTATTATGTGTGTCTTTTTTTTTTAACTATTTGCCACTGGACATTTATCAAACATCAATACATCAATCAATCAGTCGTTTTTGAATTAAGGATTTTTTTATAGCTAATGTAAGTCCGCCAATATGGAGAGGTAGCAAGTACCAGAATACCACGAGATTCTCTGAACATGATTGCATATTAGCATAAAATTATGTATGCAGTCAACTATCTTTTGATTCTTTTCTTTTAAGTTCAGTTATGTGTTATTTATTCATCACTCAAATTTAAAATTTAAATATACTTCCATCCTTGACCTAGATCTAGTTAAGGATTTACGTGCTTATATTTGATATAATTTGGCTAATAGTACTAGTAGCACAATGGTTTAGCGAAACACCAATTAGGAAATTAAGAGAAATGTTAAATAGAATTGCACTTGTATGCAAACAAGATGAAATCACAGGAACGTCACATCATGTACTCGAGCGGTCCAAAATTTGTTGGTTTAGTATTTTAAACAAATATTTTACGAAAAGATTTTCTCGGGTTTAATTTCAAAATAGATGGAAACACAAAAGTTTTATATAAAATGTATTAAATGTCGATTCATATTTTGCCATACTTTTACAGGAGGAATGGCTAATGTCCCATTAGTTTGTTTAACTCTGAGTCGAACTAGAAAACTGAGATTTGGATATCATAAAAGTTCTCTAAAGAGACTGAAATTTATCAATAGTTTTGCATACTAGTACATCAGTCAAATAAAAATGTTATTCAGCGTTGCATATATTAAAGACACTTATTTGGATACTATATTGTAACTGTTTTTGCATCGGAGGAAATAATTAACCAACATTAATAAATGTATATCAGAAAGACTATACACAGTTTTACATTCAATAGAATGTCTTCCTTGTACATTGTTTGATGAATCCTCAAATTTTGCCAAAATCAATAACACTTGCTGTTTTGAGGTATCTTTATGCATTCATAATGCACATATAAAGCTTTAATACTGTGAATTTGATTAAATATTGAAAGATTTTTTTTAAATGGACCAGGTGGGGAAAAATTAAGGAGAAATTCGATGTATCTCAAAGACAAGGGAAGGTCAGCGTATAATTGGAAATATTCTGAAAAAATGAGTCTATCATATTCTTGTTTTTATTTTGCCATGTAAAGTAAATTTGAACATTTGTAAATGTTCTCAATGAAGAAAACCTTTAGCCTTAAGTTTCTTGCAATATATTACTCAGTATAATGCATATAGCACATATACAGATTTCGTTGGTTTGTTGACTTAAAATTAAAAAAAAAAATCGTTCAACTATCACACTTGACCATTGAATTCTATAAATTGATATGTGAATACTTTTAATTATCTCTTTGTTTCTTTTCCTCTATGTAGGGATTAAAAACCTATGATCAGATGCTGTCTTTTTCCGATGATGTTTTCAGTAATCTCTATGAGTAAACAATTCTTGAGTCAAACCTTTAATTTAAGAAGTCACCAATTCAATCAACAATGTTTTTGGCATAACAGACCATGGTTACTATACTGTGTATTTAAAACTTGTGACAAGATATGTAAACATTTCAATAGGTTGTCCAATCACAACAGTAGTCCTTTGTTGAAGATTTAGTATAAATAAAGTAATTTAAATAGTTCTACAAATTGTGCGGTCCTACAGAAGACAACTATGAAACTCTTACTTAGTTTGTGTCTGTTGGTGGTACTTATACAATACGTTCACGGGTAAGTCTACACATATGACTAGTTCATTGGAAGCCATACAATTTAACAGTGTCTGAATCTGCAGCAAGTGACAATTCTTCGTGTGTATTGGTGGAGTTTTATGCAATTTCTATTTTGAATCTACCATTCTTTGTTTTGAAAAGCAGAGAGTGACTAGAACTGACAATTGGTTCATTTATGACAAATTATATGAAGTGAAGTACCTAGAAATTATCATAATAGATTTTTTATTACAGCCAATTGTGTTAGCGAAGTAGTTTTTTTTCAAAGAAAGTTCTGACGACTTTCTTTGACAATGTCCATTGTTATTATAGTCAAATCATATTTGATACAAGTTTTTACATTGATGACTGATTCCATATTCCAATTTTATATTGATTGCAACAATGCAATAAGCATAACTTGTATTCATTTTGATGGACAAGATATCTAAACCCTTTCTAGTTTGAATTTTGTCCCTATCTATTAAAGTGCTACATTTGGCATTTTTGGGGAATGGTTGGCATTATTATTAGGGGTTAGTTATTTACTTTAAAACTCCACGTGATTGTACAGTAGACGGCAAATGTCAGAGTTTAGTTTAATTTTTAAGCGATTATCACAACTTAGTAACTCGTTATCACGACTAAGCTAAATTGTTTTAAAGAGTTACTAAGTTTTGATAACAAGTTAGCCAAGTCGAAAATAATACTACACCCTGACATTAACCGGCTTCCATATGATTGTTATATGCCAATCATGGAATTCTTGAATTTCTATATACTAGTCATATAATTATTACATTAACCTATAGCTGTACAATGCAACCTATGGGAATGCAACAAGAGTATAAATCCCAATAACTGAAAATTATACCATAGCTATCTATGGTATAATTTTCACAATTATACCATGGTTTTGTTGGATATGGTCTTCGAAAAGAAAAAGAAAGGTAGGGAGACCTGGCGTTGGTCTCTTGAATTTTTTGACACAAGAACAACAGAGTCAGTGCGGGGCCACTAAGCTAAACTGCCCACTTTGCACCAGCCGATTTAAATGAATGCCTAGGGTGGGAATCGAACCCACGTACACTCCGTTGTCCTATATTTGAAAATAAACAAAAATTCCCTCTCAAAACAACGAAACGAACAGTTTAAAAAATATATATAATCTATATTACTTGAAAATATCAGCTGATTTTCAGTTATTGAAATATACACTTAGATTGTATCATCATAGGTTCCATTGTACAGCTACGTGTCTAGATTTAAATTTGCCGAGGCTTTTTTTTTAAGAGGGATGGAAAAAATGGCACGCCCCTTTTAAGCAGCTTCATATATATGATAAATACATTAGACTTTTTATAACAATAATGTTGGACCGTTAAAATTAGATAGCAACTGGTTACTCAAAATGCTCAACTTTTTGTATAATAACAGGGGCGGATCCAGCCATTTTTAAAAAGGGGGGGGTCCCAACCGAGGATAAAAGGGGGGGTTCCAACTATATGTCCCCATTCAAATGCATTGATCGTCCAAAAAAAAGGGGGGGGGGGTTCCAACCCCCCCTCTGGATTCGCCACTGAATTACCTATAATCAACATGTGCATGATTATAATCGTGATAATTTTGAAATCCCTTTTAATTAATGTATGACTTTAAAAGCTCTGGTGAAATTAATTTCCTCGTTATTAAAAATTAAGGTTTATAACCCCTTCTGTAGCCATGTGAATTACGAAATTTTCAAACTGCAATAGTCTCAAAACAGCAAAGATAATGAATAATAGAGATGGGTCATATTGTACATATACTAAGGGGTAACTTCGTGCAAAGCATTATTATTTATTGTTTCATTGCATTTAATAGAAAAAGAGGATTTTGTGGAAAATAAAACCAAGATTTTTGTAAAAAATCCACAGACTTTAATACAGAGATTTTTGATATAAAATTTTAATCATAGATTACTCACTTGTTTTTCTATGATGTTCTAGCGTTAATTGTTTACAAAAAGTCCTCAACAATCTTTAAATTAAAAAAAAAACTCGTGCAGAGTCAATAAAGTCGGGCGCACCCTAGAAGGTGTACTTGAATTGGTCCATATTTATATTTGTTTTAACCAATATCTAAATTTATCAACTTGTTTTAAGGAAATCATTGCTAGCACTCCATGCAATAATCCTCTTTCTATCAAGCACCGAATTGCCAAATATGAGAGTACAAGTGGAAAGACTGGATTTTCTATAACATTTCCATATGTTTAGCATTGAATCAACACAAGGGTACATAATCCTTAATAATAAAAACAATTTAACATTTCGAACGTTGAGATGAAATAAATAATAAACAGCTGCGCCATGAGCGCATGATACGCCCGTCGTCTTGTGTGTGAATTTTTATGCAATAAGCATAAATAGTTTCTGACATACGGCGTGACATGCGAAAACCCCCTTTTTTTTTTACAAAAAACTCAATATCTCTAAAATAAAATTTTGAATCAAAACCAAAAAGTATACAGATCTTTAGATTAATATAACCAAGAAGTGTGTAAAATTTTAAGCAATAATCATAAATCGTTTTTGAGATACGGCGCGACATGTGAAAACCCCCCCTTTTAAAAAAAAAAAATCAATATCTCAAAAATAAAATTTTGAATCAAAACCAAAAAGTATACAGATCTTTAGATTAATATAACTAAGAAGTGTGTAAAATTTTAAGCAATAATCATAAATCGTTTTAGAGATACGGCGCGACATGTGAAAAACCCCTCCCCTTTTTTTACAAAATACTCAATAACTCAAAAATAAAATTTTGAATCATCACCAAAAAGTATACAGATCTTAACGTTAATATAACTAAGAAGTGTGTAAAGTTTTAAGCAATAATCATAAATTGTTTTTGAGATACGGCGCGACATGTGAAAAAAAGCACACCTGTTTTAGTTACTAAGTCCCGTAACTCAAAAAAGTTTTAATCTTATTTTCACCAAAAAGTATACAGATCGTTTGACCATCATAAGAAACAACTATGTTAAGTTTCATGAAATTTGGATAAGTCATTCTCAAGTTACGGTGCGACATGTTTACGCCGGACAGACAGATGGACAGACAGACAGACGGACAGACAGACGGACAGACAGACAGACAGACGGACAGACGCCGGACATTTGTATAACATAATACGTCCCGTCAAAAATTTGACGGGCGTATAAAAACTAACCCTAAATCTGGGATTCAAGAGAGCTTCCAAATATCAGAAAATCTGTGACTTATCTTGCGTCCATATCCAGAAAATCTAATTCCTTCGCCATGTTTTCGTCTAGATCTGTAACGTTATCCGCCACCAATGTAATTGTGCATCCTTCGGTGTCGAAAATTCAGGTCTAACTGATATTCCCGCGGTTTCAGAATCCCGTGCTTATTTAAGAAAGTAGGCGGAGCTTTGTGTGTAAGGCCAGAAAAGGGTTATTTAGCTGATTTTTATCAAAATTATTTTTAAATTAAACATACAAAAAAAAATGAAGTATAAAATTTTAAACATGAAAAGATGCTATAGGTTAAAACAGATATTTCATATCTTTTGGATAGTTTTGTGGCGTTTCGTAAATTATACCATAGTTTTTGTTGAAACCCCCGGCAACCTCACTCGACCTTCGGTCTCGTGAGGTTAAGGCCGGGGCTTTCAACAAAAAGCTATGGTATAATTTACGAAACACCACAAAACTATCCAAAAGATATGAAATATCTATAACATGTAGTAATGCAGAGCATTTTGCCCATATGTAATACATAATTTTATTATTCGTGAATTTTACAGAGGATGTCAGACGTGTTACATGACAGAAGAATACGTGTCAAATTACTTTTCAAGCTGTGGTCTGTTTGGATGGAGTAGATGTGCACGTACAAGGTAAGGTTCTTTCCTTCCATCACGCATGTTTAACAAATATTATGTAGGCATTTAATTTTTTTTAAATAGATGGAATAGAAAATTCTCGTTTATCGACATATCAGATGATTTTCAAAGGTGAATGTTTTCCTTTTTTTGTTAAGTTGCTTGTTTGTTTTTGTTCTTTGTTAGTTTTTTGTTTGTTTTTGTTTTTGTTTTTTATGTTTATTCTCCTTCATTTTTGTTCAATTTGGTTTTTTTTACGTTCAAATTGATAGAAAGTGTTTACATAATATAGTTTTTTTTTTTAACTTAGAAATGCACACGAAAAGAAGCTTTGCTTCAGTTATCAATGTTACTATATACTAGCTTTTACTGCTTCCACCGGCAATTAGAGACCGGCATAGAACAAGATGTACATCAATTACAAAACAAAACTATTCCCAGTTCCTCATGCCGTAATATAAAACTCTTAAGCTGGGGAGACACGTCTCGGGTATGATTGCATATTTATTCATCCATACAGATTGCAAATATGCATTTTTCATTTTCCAAACAACGGTTTTCTCAAATTATTATGTCCTAACTAAATTCTAATGTGATTGTATTTAATGATTTTAAGTTTCTCTTTATAAATAACAACATTGTAAAGACAGCAATAGACAACAACGTTGATTATCGTTGTTGGCTATTAATGCAACTTAACAGCAACACCTTAACGACTTTTTCATTGGTTTCTGTTTGCTATCGAATCAATGAGCAACAATACAGTACTAGTATTTTTAAAATAGTTGCTGTCTTCAGTTTTGGGTTTGAAGTTCGCAAATATCTATTTTATTGGCGAGGCGCTGCGGAGCGATCTTCAACACACTAAGAATCTTTTTTTAGTGATATCAGTAATGTTACAATTAAACAGACCATCTACTGAGCTGTTCCCATCCCTGACTGACTGCTGGTGTTGGTTTTTTTTTTAAATGGTGAAGAATATTACACTTTTCCAACGTCATTGTGCATTCCCTTACACGAGCTATAGCCGGCGGTGTACTGTATTTTGCAACTGATGTTCTGTAAATTGGAATATCCAAAGCGATAAACAAACGGAAACTGAATAGAGATTAGTTTTTTTTAGGCTTTCAATCATACTTTTGATATAATTTATATAAACATGATAAATCGGCAAATAACTTCTCTTGGCTTCTTATGACAATTAACCAAGGATTTCAGTAACAAGAAGGTTCATACTTTATAAATCTTTGCATTAATTCAATTCGTATTTTGAAGACATACAAAGGACACGGTACACTAAGGGCCGTATTTGGCCCCCTATTTTGTCACAAAATCATTTTCATGAAACAAATGAACTTAGCATCGAAAAAGATTTGCATATATCTGTTCTTCAGTAGCACATGCGTATTTTATCTTTTAGTAAATCAGAAACCTGATTTTGGGTTGCTTAAAGTGCTTTGAATACGTCAAAAGATAGAAAAATGTTGATTTTTGGACTGAAATCCTTCGTTTTAAAAGGCCTCCGCTGTAAAAAAAAAATAGTAATTAAGATGGCATACAAACGGGGTTTGCCTACTAAGAAAAGAAATTACAGGCTCACGTTGGCGGAGGAACTCATTATGTGATGAAAAAACTTATCAACATTCTTCTCAAGTACTTCATCAGGCATAGAAACCAACAATCCCTTTATGCTCTAACAAACAACAAAGAGACCCTTAGTAGTTCAAAATGTACTTCAGATAAAAGCAGACACATTTATACCAGTAAGATCAGAATGGTTTCCATTAACATCAACGGTCTAAGAGGGAAAAAACTCGAACCGCAGGCATATTTACAAACTGAAAACCCCGACATAGTAGCGCTGTAAGAGACCAAAATCGACAACAGCATTACAACCAATGAATTGATTCCAGACACATTGGACTATGATATATACCGCAACGATAGAACAGGCAATGGGGGAGGCACAATGTTACTCATCAAAACACACCTAGACACAGCACCCGTGAAAATCCTCGAAAATGGGTCAGAATCTACTTGGAGCAAAATCATCTTGCAAAGAAAACACCATTATATAGGAAGCTGGTACAAACCACCTGATGCCCCTTTGGATCAAATACAACTAATAAAGGATCAAATGAATAAAATCAAGAAATTAGGGAAAGCAAATAAACAACCATGCATTCACGTCTTGAGTGATTTTAATTACCGTAAAATAAATTGGCAGACACAGTTAAATGAAGATACCAACACATGTCTAAACGGTAGTGACGGCCAGCCGTTAATAGATACCCTTAATGAGGCTAGTGCTGAACAATTCGTCCTGTTTCCAACCAGGGAAACGGTAATACGATAGACCTTTTAATTACAACCTTACCAGGGCAGTTCACAGATATCCACTCACCTGGTCGGTTTAGCGACCACGACATTGTCATGGGTACTCTGAGATGCACAATTAAAAAAAGATAAGACCAGAAAGGACCTCCTTCCAATACTCAAAGGGAAACTACGATCAGATGAGAGAAGATACAAAGGACTTCACCAGAGACAAATACTTCAATGGCCATCAAAACACCAGGAATGTAGAAGAAAACTGGAACATGATAAACGAATTTATGCTAGGAACCACCAAAATCAAATTTCCAACTAAAACATCAAAAGGAAATCAGACAATACCATGGATAAATAATACATATAACTTCAAAGCCATGATAAAACGAAAAAACAGAACACACGCCAACTATAAAAAAAAATGAACAGCGTGGGAATAAAACGAAAATGGCAAGAATTAAGACGCACAATTAACAAGGAAATTGAAACAGCTAGTCCACAACAACTACGTCAACAACTTAATAGTCGATATAAAGCAGGATTGTAATCCATATTGGAAATATATTAACAACCAGAAGGCAGACAAACAGGGAATACCACCACTTAAGACTCAAGATAGTAAGACCGCCGATACAGACTAACAGAAAGCAGAGGCATTGAATACAGTTTACAAGCGTTTATACCAAGACAGAATATGAATCCATTCCATACCAAACTCCACTTGTAGACAAAATGAGGAACATCACAGTAACAACAAAAGGAGTGGAGAAGATACTTAGAAATCGTTAATGCGTCGAACGCGATGGGTCCTGATGGTATACACCCCAGAGTACTGAAAGAATTTGCACCTAACATATCAGAGGTAATGGCTCACATATTCCAACAATCCATCAACAGAGGAACCATCCCAGATGAATGGAAAAGTGCTAATATATGCCCAATATTAAGAAGAACGACAGAAACATCCCGAGTAATTACAGACCAGAATATCTAACATGTATCACCTGCATACTACTAGAACATGTCATTTGCTCGAACCTAATGGAGCACTTTGAAGATCACAACATCCTAAATAGCCGACAACATGCATTTAGAAGAAGACACAGCTGCAAAACCTAACTCATCAACGTGATACACGACTGGGCAACTGCCATTGACAACAGGAAACAAATTGATATATTTATTTTGGATTTTGAAAAAGCATTTGACACCGTACCACACGAGCTATTAAAAAGTAAATTTCACAAATATGGTGTGCCGAAAAACATCTTGAATTGGATTAACGCTTTCCTATCTACAAGATCTCGGTGCATGGTAGTGAATGGGATTAAGTCTGAAACATCAACAGTACTATCAGGAGTACCTCAATGAACGGTTCACGGTCCCATCCTATTTCTAGTCCATATCAACGACATAGCAGAAAATGTAACATCTGAAATAAGGCTGTTCGCCGACGACTGTGTATGCTACAAAGAAATAAAAAACGAAGATGACTGTGCAGAACTACGGAAAGATATAGATACGCTTGGTAACTGGGCGACAAATTGGGGTATGAGATTCCAACCAATTAAATGCAACATGATGACATTGAGTCGCATGAAGAAAACAACATCATTTGAATATACCCTAAAAGATACCAAACTCCAATTTTTAACATCTATTAAATATCTAGGAAAAAACATCACCAATGACCTACACTGGGGAAAACACACAGAGGAGATATGCAACAAATCTTATAGGACATTATGATTACTAAAAAGAAACCTCTCATCATGTCCACTTAAAGTTAAACTCCAGGCATATAAAGAACTGATACGATCTGTCCTAGAATATGTGAGCGCTGCTTGGGACCCACATCAAATATATCTTCAAGACCAACTGGAAAGTGTACAGAAAAGAGTGGCAAGGTTCATAACATCAAACTACAATTACGAACCAGGAAGTATGACAGCAATTTTTGGACCAGCTGCAATTACCATCCCTTAAAGATCGTCGAACCCAGAACAGACTTATCCTCTTCTGCAAAGGTATACACGGTCAAGCAAACTTACCATCTGATCAACTGAAAAAACGATCAAGAACAACCAAGAACATGCATAGCCAACATTTCCTGAGACTGCAAACAAAATCAGACACATTAACATTCAGTTTCATATCAAACACAATTAAAGATTGGAACCTACTACCCCCGGATATCTTCACATGGTGAAAACATATGCACTTGGCAGACACGACAAATAGGCATTTTGCAATTGTCTCTCCGGTTGAGTCACCCAATAAATTAAAGCGACAAATAGTTTTGATAATTTAACTATTTTTCTTTTCAAGTAAAACAAATTCAGAATATGTAAAAGTTCGGGACAAAATACAGGGCCGGTTGCAGACGACTTCAGCCGAAAACCACTTGTTTTGTTTAATATTAACGTGAGATTTTTATGAGTAAAAATGTAAAGTAAACAATTTTTGCAAGTTAGTTTGTCCCAGTCCCAGATTTCTATTGTAAACAAATAAAAATCAAATTACTGAAGTACTGAACATCGTATGGCCGCAAGTTCTTGTGGATGGCCGTCACAAGCACTTGTCTCAGAAAAAAAACCTATCTCTATACCCGAGAGTGAGGTTAATGTACAGAGATATTTTTTTCTGAGACAAGTTCGTGCGTGGATGATGAATAAATTACAGGGAATTCAACCTCACCTCAACTATTATATTGTAGTGTTTACAAATCAGTATACTCTGGTTTGTTGTTAATATTTGTATAATTTATAACAGTTACATGTATATATAATTTTCATCCATTTGTATATCATTCTATTCTACTATTCTAATAATAGTACAGTGCAAGCGCATGGTGGACACTCTTCTGTAATAATTCGATTTTTCTAATAGATTGGATTTGAGTAGGCATTCATATTTTCCCGCAAAACGTTCTTCAGATATTCTTCCGCATGCGTTAACACAATTTTTCTGTACGTGTGCATAGATATTAATGATTCTTTTTACCTATATATATATATTTCTAACGACAAAACGTTTTCATATTACTAATTTATGTTCTAAAAAAATATTTTTATGAGTATTCATTGAAGAAATGAATTTATAACAAGCGATAAGGAATGTTATTTTGCACTCGATAATGTCCGCGTATTTATACGATCGGTTACCAGTCAAAAACGAAAGTCAAATCTGTGGCAACAATACATCGGAATGAATTCACGGTCATCGCGATGAAAAAAGTGGAGAAAAGTTACAAATCTATGAAATGTAGTAGGTGTAAATACATCATTTTAACACCTTTCAGATAATAATGTCTGTTATTTCATAATGTTCATAGTTCATCTATAAATTGTTGTTTGATAATAGAATAAAACAATAGTTCAAGTTATGAAGTCTGTTTTTTTAGCACAACTGCTATGAGGCAGCGGTTTTGATTCTCGGAAGCTAGAGCAAATACTCATTAATCCTGCTGGATAATATATTGTCGCTAATATTATGATATCAGTAAGAAACATATTGCTTATGAGGTCAGTAGGTCCGCACAAAGGTCACTATAATTTGGTTTTTATCTTAGTAGAAACTTTTTCGTCAGTCTGGTTTATTTAAATGAACACCAAGTGACTTCCATCTATAGTCGGATAGAGATAAATCTACAAAAGATCAATACCGTAGATGACAAAATAACATCAGAAAAGTACAATATCAACATGACCAACGTAAATCATACATGAAAACGGTCGTTGCTATGCAGTGCGTACGGTTGCTGGGTAGTTTCTAAGCATACAACAAGCTAACATAATGTAAGAGTTGTACAATTGCCGTTTAAGTACCAAAACAATAGCTTTGGTTATAACATTATTGATTACATAAACCTTGAGTAGATACCAAAGGTTACGGTTGCTTAGTATAAGGTATTGTTGCTAAAGGTCATTCCGGTTGTTAAGGTGTTGATATATACGCGTTTAGATAATATAAATAAATCAAACGTAACTGTTTGAGATTTCCGTATATATTTTATGCAATGATACATTTTGATTCTTATGGAAAAGACGCATTTTTTTTATAAATAAGGTTCATAATAGTATATGAATGGCATGTTTCAAATCTGTGGCTTGGCAACCACAAAAATGGTACTAGTAATAAAAATTAAAAAAATGTAATTTTCAAAACTTCTATACCTAGTCTATTGAAATTATAAAATTCAATTCATTTGAAGAGGGGGCCAAAAATTACCCTTATTGTACTTTGTCCTTTGAACGCTGAACCGTCAATAAATTGATTAAAAGTTGTAACATAACTGATTTTAATGGCAATGCTCTACATTTAACTGTGTGAAATACATTTTGATGTATTAATCTCAATGTTGGAAAAGTTTGAAGAGAAATTGCAGCAGTTTTGTTTGGGGTGTATTCTAGTTGATTTTTAAATGTTTTGCATATCGGGGAGTCAAAGCCAAATTTATAGGAGGGGTATACATCTATATGCATGGTTAAAGTTAGAAACATTTATTGCTTTACACAATCATTTCATGAGGATTGTTTTCAGATACCTCTTTATTTTGTTTGCACATCGCCCCCATCTATCGTTGTCTAAGTTCTATCTCTTTATTCTTTTTTATTGTTGTAGTATTAAAGATCTTATAATCAAAAATAAAATGACTTCATTATAAGTTGAGACACGTGTCAATCTGTAGCGAAGAAGCCTTTAAGAAAGGCGTAATAAATGCATATAATAATATTTTGATAATACTTTATATTTGTTGCATAACTTTCAGACCTTTGAAAATTGAAGGCCGTACGGGACCTATAGTTGTAAGCTCATTGTCGAATGCCGTACGATGACCTATAGTTGTAAACCTCTATGTAATTTGCTCTCTGGTGGAGAGTTGTCTCATTGGCAATCATACCACATCTTCTTATTTTTATACTTGTATATATATGTGCAATTTACAACATTGTTTCTCATTGTTCATTTTGAAACGAATCGTACTGTAAGACGACAAATGATTTTTGATATCGTAAATAACAGAGGTGGGACGATCTTTTTCTATTATCTTTATTCTTAGAATAGTTAATATAAATTAAAACACAAACCTTTTTTTCTTTCTTTGATTTTCAGAACTTCAACCAGACAAAAGTCGTATTCATGCAAGTGTTCCGGTGAGTACAAGGTAGTATTAAAAGCTCTTCCCTTTTTGGAGTTTCAGTCATATAGAATTAAAATAAAAAAACCAAATATATAGATACAGATATGTAAATCATCAATATCATTGATATAAATATTTCACTAATTTAAAGGATTGTATAGTGTATATATCGACCATTACTGAGTAGTGTGTAAACTTTACCAGTTTTGAGTAGTATGTGTTCCGACCAATTATGGTTATAATGTTGTGGATATAATGACCAACTTATCATTATTGATTAGTGTGCATACACTAACTGTTATCAGTAGTTTACATGTTTATACCATTATTGATTAGTGTGCATACACTAACTGTTATCAGTAGTTTACATGTTTATACCATTATTGAGTAGTGTGCATACACTAACTGTTATCAGTAGTTTACATGTTTATACCATTATTGAGTAGTGTTTTACCATTATTGTGTAGCATTTATACCATGATGGAGTAACGTATATAACGTTACCATCATTGAGTAGTGTATACCATAATCGGTGTTCCCATTGTCTGTATCTGTTTTTCAAAAGTCAATTTAATCACATATTTACAGATACAAGACAGTAATTGATTAATTCCGTATTCCAAGAGGGAAAATGTGTGTGCTGATAATTATTTCCCAAAACTAACTATACAAATCCTTGATAAAACAATTTTACCATAATTATACACGTAAAAGCACGCGACGTTTAGGGCGGTGAATATACTTTTTCCGCAGGTGAATATGCTGTTTTATTCAAAATCAAATTCGTATAGAAACATCTACTAAAGTTCTATCAATATTGAATAATATACAATTACTGTCCTTTCATGAGGTAAATATGTGGTTTTATCACATATTTGTTACGAATACGTTGGGTTTTGCATATGTAATAACCTCAAAATTGCCCGGGGCAAAAAAGAGGTTATTGGTTATTGTGCCCTGATTCCAAATGACGAGGCCGATATGGGAGTCTCGGGATGATACCATGGCCAATATTGAAAAGGGCATGTTATAATCTATACTTATTGACTTTTGAAAAACGGATATTCACTGAGGCCAACACCCGAAGTTAATATACATATTTACCGAAACGAAAGGCAGCAATTGTTTTATTCCGTATTCATAGACAGAACATGTAATGTAATAACAATTGTTTACCAAAGCCAATTGTACATCAAACGATTTTACCATATCTATACACGTAGAAACTTCAGTTTAATTGAAGTCTGGAGCTGGCATGTCAGTTAACTGCTAGTAGTCTGTTGTTATTTATGTATTATTGTCATTTTGTTTATTTTCTTTGGTTACATCTTCTGACATCAGACTCGGACTTCTCTTGAACTGAATTTTAATGTGCGTATTGTTATGCGTTTACTTTTCTACATTGGCTAGAGGTATAGGGGGAGGGTTGAGATCTCATAAACATGTTTAACCCCGCCGCATTTTTGCGCCTGTCCCAAGTCAGGAGCCTCTAGCCTTTGTTAGTCTTGTATTATTTTTAATTTTAGTTTCTTGTGTACAATTTGGAGTTTAGTATGGCGTTCATTATCACTGAACTAGTATATATATTTGTTTAGGGGCCAGCTGAAGGACGCCTCCGGGTGCGGGAATTTCTCGCTGCATTGAAGACCTGTTGGTGGCCTTCTGCTGTTGTCTGTCCTGTGGTCGGGTTGTTGTCTCTTTGACACATTCCCCATTTCCATTCTCAATTTTACGTAGAAACACGCGATGTTTGCGCGTCAATATAATTTTTATGCAGGTGAATATGCTGTTTTATTCAAAATCCAATTTATGTAGAAAAATCTACTATCAAAATGGAATAAATACCATGTTTAAAAAGGTATATACCATTATTGAGTAGTGTGTACCATTGTTGAGTAACTGTATTTTCAACTGTTCAGTAGTGTATACACTGACCAATTCAATTGCAGTAAATGGAGGATGGAGTAGTTGGTCAACGAAAATCACATGGCGTAATGATTGTTCAACAAAATGTGGACAAGGAATAGAAACAGGATACAAAACCAGAACTTGTACAAATCCAGCTCCTCAATACGGCGGCAGCAGTTGCTCTGGTTCTAGTACACAAACACAGCAACGAGCATGTAAAATCAAAGAATGCCCAAGTAAGTTATTACTTTTACATTTAAACCAAATCTGGAGGGAATAAAGTCCTTTTCATTTTTGTGTTTGTGTTGGTTCGATTTAAGTTTCTTTGTCATTTATTTGTTGTTTGAATTTGATTTTATTATTTTATTCGATTCTAATTTGAATATTCCGTCTGATATATAATACTCTGTTTAAAAGTGTTGTTTTTTCTTCAAACTGTTAAGCTCACTTTGTATTTGTAATCCTGTGTACTATTGGAAGAAGCTTATCCTAAAACCGATAAAGCATACAGACTGTTTTTCATACTTAAACCTGGTTTATGAGTATACTATTGGTTTCATTTAAAAACATTGCTGATGAGCATTCTTGCTTTTAACTCAAACCACCACATTTCCTTCAAAAAAATGTTTATGAACTTTGATTATGGTGCATCATAATGCATACCTGGCACCCCATGACCATATTTTTATCCCAAAATATAGTTAATGAATCATAATCTCTGTTTTTCAAACTACAATGTGGTGATACAGCAAGAGGGTTTATCCTTCCACACTTAGAGTATGGTTGAGCTTAAATTTTGTGTTAAAAAAATATGGTTTTTGTGTGTATCTTTTACAATGAGACGCACTCAATTTGTTCAATTACAGAATAAAAATCCATTTATTTATTTGAGCAAATATCATGTCTTCATGCTAAAATAATTTGATAATGTCAGATATATGTAGTGTTCTTTAATACGTAATATCATGTATTATGTTTCTGAGAAGACGTTACTTGGAACTTTGCAAAAGGTGTGTTTGATCCATTTGTCTCTTTTAAAACTAAATCTTAACTATGGACATTTCATTTCCTGCTCTGTTATAATTCTAATTCATTATGTATGATTGATGCTATTGTTACTGCAATTAAGTTTATTTGATAAAGTTTATTACCGTACCGTTTAAAGCCTTTGCACTGAAAAAAACAACACTCATAAAACTTGCAGATGAGTATTTGTTTTTTAAAACGACAAATATCGATAGTGATTTATTTGAAAAAAGAAAAATGTATATTTTAGTTGATGGTGGATGGACATCTTTCTCTAAATTCACATGGAACAACGATTGTTCAGCAGCATGTGGTGTAGGTGATGAAACAGGATACAGAACGAGATCATGTTCAAATCCTACCCCAGCCCATGGAGGAAAAGCCTGTACTGGTGCAGCATTAGAAAAAGCGACGCGTAGTTGTAAGATAAAGGAATGCCCAAGTAAGTTTTCTTTCGATTTGTTTGCGATTATCTATTTTCTGTTATTAGGAATTCCCTTCACTTTTGTTTTCGTAGTTTTTTGTTATTTCAAATCAGTCATTTACAAATAAATAACTTTTCTCATAAATTTGCACTATGTTTATCGATCCATAATTCAATTGATTTTACAACTTTATCGTCATTTGCTTTGAACTCTCTATCCCTATTCATTTTCACTATGTATCACCTGACTCAAATCAAGAAGTCTTTCAATATATGTTTTCAGCAATTCTTCATTGTCTGTTCAAATAGTTCTTCACGTTTTTCATTTGTTTCAAACAAGTCAACGCCATTTGTACTCAAAGCTTTTTATGATTTTGTTCATGTTTCGTTTACAGTAGTTCCTTTCTTAACCATTTTCCATTCTTTGTTTCACACTATTCGTCTAATTTCGCCTTCAATAGATTTTCTTCATTTATTTAAATCCTTTGTTATTCATTTACAATAATATACACTGCTCCTTATGTACGTCTTTCACTGGATCGTTTTAACCAATTCTTATTATCGTAACTTAGTCTTTAGTTATTTCTCCTGTTTGTTACAGGCAATTTTGGTTACTTACATTTGCCAAAATTTATTGCATTTGATTATATATACATAATTTGTATACTCACTGTCTATTGGGATTTTTTAAATTATCTTCCTCTTAACAAAACCTTTTACACGTGTCCATCTGTTTGCTGTTCAAGCGCAAACTTAACTTTGTGGAAAAAAATGCAATGAAATGCCTGAAATAAAAGAATTCACAAGTATGTACGGAAGAGTTCTTTAAATCGAACTAGCAAATGCAGATTTTTTTGTGGAAATCAAAGATTTTTATTCTTGAATTGGAATATAGATAACTTCTATGGGCTTTTTGTCTACTTTCGTGTTTATTAATAATCCACACAATGTTATAACAGTTGATGGACAATGGAGCGATTATTCTACAGTATCTTGGAACAATGATTGTTCAGCTACTTGTGGCATAGGAGTAGAAACGGGAACTAAAACAAGAACATGTACTAACCCAACACCAGCCTATGGTGGCAATCCATGCAACGGAGATTCCTCATCTTTGGAGAAACGGCAATGTAAAATTAAAGAATGTCCAAGTAAGAACTATACATGATTCTCTTCTTTAACTTTGTTTAACAACAATGGTCATTACAAAATTTCTTTAATTCCCTTTTCATAAAAAACAAGCGTGTCAGCATCTCTTGTTTTTTTCTTTTCATTACCAAAATTACGGTCATTTTCAGTTTTAGAATAAAATATCACCGTTTTAGTTATTTCCACCCATGAGCAACACCAATGTTTCCTCAAGTGTAGCAGGAATGTTAACCTTTCCGTTAAACAAGAGTTCATCCACGGATATTTGTGGGTTTTTTGTAACGTTGATCAATCATTAATTTTGTGTGGAATGTAATTTTCGCCTTCAATAGATTTTCTTCATTTATTTCAATCCTTTGTTATTCATTTACAATAATATACACTGCTCCTTCTGTACGTTTTTCACTGGATCGTTTTAACCAATTCTTATTATCGTAACTTAGTCTTTAGTTATTTCTCCTGTTTGTTACAGGCAATTTTGGTTATTTACATTTGCCAAAATTTATTGCATTTGATTATACATTATTTGTATACTCCCTGTTTATTGGGATTTATTTAAATCATGTTCCTGTTAACAAAACCTTTAACACGTGTCCATCTGTTTTCTGTTCAAGCGCAATCTTAACTTCGTGGAAAAAAATGCAATGAAATGCCTGAAATAAAAGAATTCATAATTATGTATGGAAGAGTTCTTTAAATCGAACTAGCAAATGCAGATTTTTTGTGGAAATCAAAGATTTTTATTCTTGAATTGGAATATTGATAACTTCAATGTTTTTTTTTGTCTACTTTCGTGTTCATTTATAATCCACACAATATTTACAACAGTTGATGGACAATGGAGCGATTATTCTACAGTATCTTGGAACAATGATTGTTCAGCTACTTGTGGCATAGGAGTAGAAACGGGAACTAAAACAAGAACATGTACTAACCCAACACCAGCCTATGGTGGCAATCCATGTAACGGAGATTCATCATCTTTGGAGAAACGGCAATGTAAAATTAAAGAATGTCCAAGTAAGAACTATACATGATTCTCTTCTTTAACTTTGTTTAACAACAATGGTCATTACAATTTCTTTAATTTCCTTTTCATTAAAAAAAACAAGCGTGTCAGCATCTCTTGTATTTTCTTTTCATTACCAAAATTACGGTCATTTTCAGTTTTAGAATAAAATATCACCGTTTTAGTTATTTCCACCCATGAGCAACACCACTGTTTCCTCTAGTGTAGCAGGAATGTTAACCTTTCCGTTAAACAAGAGTTCATCCACGGCTATTTGTGGGTTTTTTGTAACGTTGATCAATCATTATATACTAGTAATTAATTGTGTGTGGAATGTAATTTGTCTTTTCGTTGTTTTTATTCTTTCTGGTTATGGTATAGACTGTTTTTCTTCGACTTATTGGTCTTATTGGTATCTTCTCCCTCTATTGAGATCAACCATAATCTTAATCAAAATATTTACGATCTATGCAGGAATCTGATGTTCAGTAGTTGTCGTTTGTTGATGTGGTTCATAAGTGTTTCTCGTTTCTCGTTTTTTATATAGATTAGACCGTTGGTTTTCCCGTTTGAATGGTTTTACACTAGTAATTTTTGGGGCCCTTTATAGCTTGCTGTTCGGTGTAAGCCAAGGCTCCGTGTTGAAGACCGTACTTTGACCTATAATTTATAACTTTTATAAATTTTGACTTGGATGGAGAGTTGTCTCATTGGCACTCATAGCACATCTTCTTATATCTATGTATTCTATTTTAAATAACTTTAGATTTAACTACAGATAATTTCACTGAAAATTAATACTAGTGGACAATTTTGAAAGGACACCTTTTTGCGCCTACATTATAACCTTAGCTTTTGAAATATTCAAAATTTTATCAGAAGAGAATTTTCAAGCCGTTTACTAAAAGAAAATGGCCAGTACCGAAAAACTATAAAAGCTTTAAATTGCAAACAATAGTTCACCAACAGTTAAAGTAAAACACAACTCATTTTTTCTGCATTCGAACTGCTCTAAATATAACTAAAGATGTAAACCAGAAGCAAATTGATAAAAAAAAAATGAAAACTATATTTTCTTTAACAAAGAATTAAAAGTAATAACATAGTTAGTTCACAACCAATAGTGTGTCCTCCTTGAAATGACTACCGATTTAAACTAGAACCCACAAGAATATTGTTTATGACACGGTATCTTACTTTTAGTTGATGGAGGTTGGACTGATTACTCAATAGTCACATGGAGCGGTAAGTGTTCAACTACTTGTGACTTTGGAACAGAAACAGGCGTAAAAACCAGAACATGCACCAACCCGGAGCCAGCATTTGGTGGTAAACCATGTGCCGGAGAGTCTTATGCTTCAGAGAATCGACAGTGTAAAGTCAAGGAATGTCCAAGTATGTTATTTTTTTGACACTTAAAATTAAGTTTAACACTACGAGACACCTTTCACGTCTTTACTTAAAGTATCAATTTAAGTGTGATTCAGTGATATGTTTTTCCTGTTGCAAATCGATTTAAATATTTCCCTTCAAAATATGAATTACACCAGTCCCCCATGCCCTCCACAAAAAAAACAGATTGAACAACAATATTGCAATTCCAACTTACATAAGAATAACATTCAAATAAAGAACTATCTTTGTCACATTACGATTCTACGCCAGAGTTAATGTTAAAATTACGATTCGGTAGTTGTGATTAAGATTGTGACACGGTGTTGACTGCTGTACCCCTATTTTGACATTTTTACCTATTGTGTCTGTTTGTTTTGTTCACGCATCGTTGTCAATATGATGGAATTTGGTGCGACTGTCATGCAGGTGAGAGGTTTGATGCTATAAAGCCGGGTTCGATCCACAATTTTCTACATGGGAGGATGCCTGTGCCAAGTCAGGAATGTGACAGTTGTTGTCCATTCGTTTGATGTGTTTGTGCTTTTGATTTTGCCATTTGGTTAGGGACTTTCTGTTTTGAATTTCCTCGGAGTTCAGTATTTTTGTGATTTAACTTTTTACATCCTCGAACTGTTCAACAAAAAATAAATAAATATCGAAACTGAAGTAACACCTATTAAATTACAAAATGGCATCACTTTCTTGGTGTTTCATTCGTTTTTCTTTAAAGAAAATACTTCTTCAATTTGCATTTAGTATCAATTCTTTTTCGTAAATTGATAACTTTTGTCTGAAAGAGAGACGTAAGATACAGAATGGATATTCAAACTCACAAGTCGAAGACAAACCGACAACGCCATGACAACAAACGAAAAGACAAACAACAATCTACAAAACACAACATAGAAAACTAAAAGACCGAGTAACGCAATCCCCACCAAAAACCAGGGTTATCTGGGGTGCTGCGGTAAGTAGACCCTGCTTCACATGTGGTATCCGTCGTGTTGCTCATGTAAGTACATGGGAACAATAAAGAACCCGAATTAGATTTTTTCATACTCTCTCAGTGTTCATGTATGCGTACGCTCTCTCGTGTACAATAATCATTTCTCCATAGTAACTCTTTGTATAATAAATAGCAAAGATATTCAACAAGCTAAAAATAAATCATCAAAGATACCAGGTTTATAACTTGGTACGCCTAACGCGCGTGTCGTCTACTAGTATATAAATATCACCAATGGTTATCGAATCAAAACAGTTGGAAGATGTTAAAGAGCCTTAACACAGAAAATTCCGATCATACGATATTAAAACTACGCTTCTTTTGTTCTAATAAAATTAGGTCTTAAAGAATTATCAGCTACTTCTCTCATACACCTGTTGGGCTACTAACGATACAGGTCCAATAAAATTCAGGAAATAAGAAAAGAAGCACGTTATGTGTCCTACAATAGTAACAGAAAGTAATTGCATTTGACAAAAGCAAATCACCTGATGCCTTCAAAATTAAATGTACTACTTTGTGATTAATTACGCCAATAGTGAAAAAAAAAACACATTCATAAATTGCAATTTTCCTAGTGCCATCTAGAATAAATAAAAAATAAGAGTTAGTAATAAAATTGAGAATAGAAATGGGGAATATGTCAAAGAGACAACAACCCGACCAAAGAGCAGATAACAGCCGAAGGCCACCAATGGGTCTTCAACGCAGCGAGAAAATCCCGCACCCGGAGGTGGTCCTCAGCTGGCCCCTAAATAAAATTGTGTACTGGTTCAGTGAAAATGGACGTAACACTAAAATTAAAAAAAACATACAAGACTAACAAAGGCCAGAGACTCCCGACTTGGGACAGGCGCAAAAATGCGGCGGGGTTAAACATGTTTTGTGAGATCTCAACCCTCCCCCTATACCTCTAGCATATGTAGAATAAAGAAACACATAGCAATAAGCACAGTAAAACTCGGTTTAAAAGAAGTCCGAGTCCGATGTCAGAATAGGTAACAAAAGAAACTAAGCAAAATGACAATGATACATAATTTATAAAAGGACTACTAGCAGTTACTGATATGCCAGCTCCAGACCTCAATTAAACTGATTGAAAGATTATGTCTTCATAAAATGAAAATCAGGTACAATCCCTCCCGTTAGGGGTTTAGAATCATACCATCATAAAATATATGAGAAGAACATAACCCGTATCATGCCAACAACTGGTTTTAGAATAAATGTGTTTATTTCCGATGTAAAGACCCTATGAGTGAATCAATATTAATACCAAAATATGCAATCCTTAATGATGTGACAACAGTATCGTAACTATATCCCTTCCGAATAAGTCTGTTTAAATGTTTGGTTAGCTTTTGAGGTGAATGCCGACATTTTTGTGCTTTGTAAAGAATATTACCATAAAATATTGGATGTGAAATACCTGAACGTATAAGATGTCTGCATGTTGATTTATATTTACGAATGATGACCTTGTACCGATGATAAAATTTAGTAAATGTTTTGACTAGTTTGTGATATCGAAAACCCTGGTGTAATAATTTTTCAGTAATACAGAGATTTCTTTCCTTGAAAGCAAATACGTTGTTACATACACGAGCGAATCGAACAAGTTGAGATACATAAACACCATAAGACGGTGACAAGGGAACGTCACCATCTAAAAATGGATAATTAACAATAGGAAATGAAAAATCATCTCTTTTACCATAAATTTTGGTATTAAGCTTCCGTTAAAGATATAGATATCAAGATCCAGGAAAGGGCAGTGCACACTGTTAAATAATTGAAAAATGTTATTAATCACATAATACCAAGAGATATGGAACTATATGATGGATGATGACAATACAGTTTTAATTGAACTGCAGGAAATTTGCTGTTGAATATATATCTAAATAATTTGTATTTTGCTGTTGAAGTTGATGGAGGCTGGAGTGAATACTCTATTATCACATGGAGCGGTAAATGTTCAACTACTTGCGATTTTGGAACAGAATCAGGAGTTAAAACCAGAACGTGCACAAAGCCAGAACCAGCTTTTGGTGGTAAACCATGTGCCGGAGAGTCTTCTACTACAGAAAGTCGACAGTGTAAAGTTAAGGAATGTCCAAGTGAGCTATTCTTTCGACAATAAAGATTAAAGTTGAAACTACGAAACACCTTTGACGTCTTTAAATAATGCTTAAAGAATTTATTTTAGTTTTAAGTTACATAAAGTCGACAGTGTAAATTGAAAGAATGTCAAGTTAACTGTTTTTTTTTTAATTTAGCATAACTATGAATGAATTTTAACCCCATAACTTAATATCAAAGTATTCCTTTGTCTTGAGAAAACTGTAACAAACTTTGCTGCTGGAGTACTTATATTCCAATTTTCTATTGAAGTTGATGGAGGCTGGAGTAAATTTTCTGCTATAACATGGAGTAGTAAATGTTCCACTACTTGCGACTTTGGAACAGAATCAGGAGTAAAAACAAGGACTTGTACAAGCCCTACACCAGCTTATGGTGGTAACCAATGTCTTGGAGAGTCTTCTGCTACAGAAAGTCGGCAGTGTAAACTGAGAGAATGCCCAAGTTAGTTGATATTTCAATATACATTCAAAATCTGTTTTAAAAAAGCCCCAAACCACACATAAAAAAATGGAAAAAAAGATAAAAAATTACTATCTCAAATCAACTCATAACAAATACGATCAACCATTAGAGATCACTATTGCACATTTTATCTTTTTTTCTATAGTTGACGGTGGATGGTCTGAATATGGACCTTTCACAGAATGGAGTGCATGTTCTGTAACCTGTGGTATGGGAATACAGACAAAGTCACATGACCGAACATGTACAAATCCGGAACCTCAGTATGGCGGAAAAGATTGTGAAGGAGGAATAACCGAGACTGTTAGCAAAGACTGTGACATGAAAAAATGTCCAGGTAAGAACTAAAAAAAATAGTATTAGTTTACTTTTTACATACATTTTTCACAGCATGATCTGTAACAAATATTTCAAAAGAGAATGAAGGCGTTTGATGAAAAGAAACAATACTTCCTGATTACGCTCGCACAAATTTAATTAAGTCTTTTTGTCTACTTTTCAGAAACCATTTGTTCTGATCTTGGACAAGGACACACTTTCACTGCTCATTTACAGCAATGTACTAAATACTTGAACTGCTTGAACGGAGAAGTAACTTTGATGAGTTGTAGTGATGGTACAGAATGGGACAATGACCTGAAGACATGTGCATTTCCTAAAGAAGGTAGCACATGTCTGGCAACAGAACCAAATGGTAATATGTTAAGTATGTATAAAACAGATTTGGGTTATATGTCAATGAGACAGTTCCTACAAAAAAAACCAGTAAATGCAATACGCATTTAGGCATCAATACAAATATGTGCTGTATCAACATGTTAATTCACTACTGATGTAAAAATAATACAAAAGTATCAGTGCATCTCCAAAGGTCGTCTTAATTATCAAACCGGGACATAAGTAGAGAAAGGGGAGTTTTAATGTATGGCGGCAAACGTATACATGTTTTAGAAAGCCAGTGAAATATGAAATTACAATTTTGGTCTTCATAAAGCTAAAGGCATTATTTGAAATGAAATAGCGTTTACCTGTAATTATCATTATCATTACTATTTTGCTAGGGCTTTTTAATATGTTGGTTTACAAGTTTTTTATCTGAAAAGTTTTGGCAATTCAGTCAGAAAAAAGATCTTATAAAACTTAAATCTGTACTTCTTTTCTTTTATTTCAACTTTGTTACACTATACCCAGTGATGTTATTATATCAAGACATAAAAAATCAAACAACATAGTGACTTGCCATTTGTAAATATCTTAATGCGAGTTTCAATTGAACGTTGTTCATATTAATGTTAATGTTGTTGTTTATTTATTTTTATTTTTAACGCATTGCTCTTTACTTGTCTCCTTCCACTTTGCAAGCATCTGTCACATATTGGTCGGACAAATCCTTTAAAGTTCTGGGTTTCTTCTTTGTGATCATCTCAATATATCCACAAAGGAAAAAGATCACATAGGAATGTCTTGTAGCTACCAGTTATTTGTTGCATAACTGCCCTTCTTTGGCATAAATTATCTCTTTCTTCAGGAAGTTATAGGGCCCACACATATATATATACAAGATCACTCTCTATCCGTTCTTTTAATCCAATGTGTTCAACAGTCAAGTTAATGATTCTTTTCAAATAATACATAATCTTGCTGTAGGGGGGAACAAAACCTCCGCTGTGACTAATTGTGTAGGGGTGTTTTTGTTGACTAAGCTAGGCTTGCAGCATCATCAGTTTTTATTCCATAAAAAACACCCTTGAATTTATCATTGTCTTTCTGAACTGAGACAGGATCTGACAGCTAGTGAGGTAGACGAGGAGGACCAATTGTGCAATGAGCACAGTTTCACACATCTTAATCTGATATGTTTTTTTCTTGTGAAGTTCAATAAATTCTTCAAACGCCTAAACATTTCTTCAATCTTTCGTTTTCAGTTTTTCAATTGGCAGTCCCTGAGCTTGAGTTCAAGATGTTCGTCCTCTCCAATATTTCATACTTTGGTCAACAAGCAGTTCCTTTTTATCTTCCTGCCAAAGTCCTCCTTCGTGTATGGTTTTACATGCGTGTTCCAAAAACACGGGTCCAATACACTCATAATTCGCTGTGCTGGATATACATTTACGCTTTATTTTGGCAATTTTGATACTTGCATGCATGAACTGACAAGGTTATTGTTGCCGCAGTCAATTTTATCATTTATCTAAAGGAAATTATTTCGATTATGACAGTCATTCATTTGCTCAACATACTGACGATCTCGTGCCCAACACACACTGTTTTGACGGAATGATAAATATTGGAATCAAACGTATTACATGCCATGTAGAAGACTGAAAAGTTTGATCTTTAAATTTAATACCACAATTGCCCATCGTAGAAACTGTCCCAGCTATCAGCAGGAATATTTGCAGAAAGGGAGTACGGATAAAAAATTCCCACGATGATGAAAATAATAGTCAAATGCATCTAACAAGCCACTTACAAAGTAAGATCGAACTCTTGTGGTTCTCCCATTGGAACTATGGCCTGATCTTCTATGAAAATAAGTATTACCTGTGCTTTCCATCTTACTATCATTTCCTTAAAGAAACTAAATTGATTTGCTGCAAAATGTTTGTCTTTATGTTAGTGCACACAATAGGTCTTTGTTGAACTTCAAAGGTCCAATACAGTTTGCTTTTCTTTTTACTTGGACTAGGTGGTAAATATTTGAATCTTATCGTAGACAAGCATGGAATACGGGATTTATTATTGCGGCAAGTGGAGGGATATCCGAAAACGTAAACAACACAAGGATATTGGACACGGCATGTGTTCATGTTCATCTACTCGCCTTTCAAAGCGCTGTTTCAAAAAGGCTCAAAATTTTTACATTTTGGATTATCATTTTTTTTACCTTTATTAAAAGGTGAGGATCGTAAGCATCCATTAAACTTAGATAACAATAACGTCAAAATCATCTTGGAAGGAAAATTCAAAAGCGCTTTCATCATAAATTAAAACCCTGCACATCTCTCTTAAAACAGTATATTTTTGTCTTGGTCAAGTGAACCTGCCATTAACAGTTTTTTCATAAAAAAAAAGAATTACACGCCAGAGCGCTTACAATGCAATGGAACAACAGACTCCTGTTATTTCCCCCACGTTATGTGAGGGGACAAAAATATCATGAATTTGCAAAGTGTTATATAAGACATTGTAATTAAGGCGGAAATAATGAACTAAGATGTGTTTCATTTAAGATGAAGGAGTATCCTGTCAATTTCACGGACAGCACCTTTCACATCCAACTGATTGTCACAAATTTTATCAGTGTGTTGGCACAACACCAAAAGAGATGTCGTGTAGCAACGGTTCAGCTTGGAATGACGCCATTGGAAACTGTGACCGTCCTGAAAATGTGGAACTTTGTAATGTAAATAATTCTGATGATGGTGCTGCTAATGTTGTTGAAGATGACACAAATGAGTCAGCTGTAGACGTGATAGGTAATACATATGTATGGATATGTTTTCTGAAAATAAGACGACCCCATATAACTTCATCTTTATAAATGAAATTTGTTATCGCGGTTTTTCATTCAGTGATGGCGTGATTTACAAATTATGTTTGACTACGATTTTTCAGGAGGTAATTTACGACAGATAACATTTAGAAGAGGACCAAACAACGACATTAAGGCAAGAATCTACCGGAACATACGGATGTACTGACATATAATTTAAAAACATACAATTAGAGCCATATCTACTCACATTTCAAACTTGGATTTGTATTAATGTATTTCATGCTAAAGCCATAATGAATAATGTTCTAAGTAGCAAAAAGTGTTTGTTTTAAAAAAATCCTGCTCATATGAAGTATACATCAGTCAGTCTATAGTTTATAAGTTATGTACTACTAGTATTTCATATTGAAGCAATTATCAGTTGCAGTAATAATTCCTTATCAATCATTCACAAACAAACTTTTAACAAACCCTTAAAATCTAGAATTTCAGACAAGTAGACAGCATCAGCATTCAGTATAATACAACTGTATTTTGATGTATATTTCCAGAAGAGTTCGACTGTGGAGGAAAGACAGGTTTTTTTGCTGATCCTAAAGAGTGCACCAAATACTACTGGTGTATAGCTGGACAGAAATATCACATGCCTTGTGGTGCAGGCACATATTTCGAAAAGGGAGGGTGTGTGGCAGGAACATGTTAATGAGTTTAGTATAGTTATATATATTATTGATATGTAGTAAACGCCATATTTAAAAATCTTCTGTGTCATGAACACGGTTAGAAAAAAATTAGGGTAATCTTAATCTGATAATATTGTGAATTTTAGTGGGGGTTTTTTTTCAAGAAATTTTTTTTACACATGTATATATGTTTCAAATTTACACAGTTAAAGAATATAACAAATAAGAAATAGAAAAGTTAATTTTAAAGAAATCAAGTATAAATGAAATAGAGGTGCATTTCAGTAAAAAAGTACTAACTAAATACCGACCTTAAACGTAAATTCCAAACGGGAAAGTCCATAAAACCTTACAAAAAGAAAGGCTCGACTATCTATATCAGTCAACGGAACGAATGGAAAACAACTGTTATATTCTTTACTTGGTACAAGCATTTTTCGAAGAATATGGTGGGTTAACCTGGTTTTACAGCGAGCTAGTAATTTAGGCACATATTAACAAACGATATTAACGCTGCATTTTACATACTGAACATAGACACTGGTTAGATTCGATGCATCAATAGATTAGTATCAGTTTGGTGACATTACAATATGATGATCTTTACTTTTCAGTTCAGTGAAAACAACAAGAAATAGTGAAAGATGATACGAACAAGAAGATACATTCATTATAATGACAATTGTTAATGTCCCTTTGGTATATCTTTCGCCTCTCGTTTAATTCTTTCTTATTTAACATTTTTATGTAATTATCATTAAATAAGTACTTGCAAATGACTTAGCACGTGGTCTTGTCGTTTAGTGCCCTGTCAATGCACCCGTCTTGATGCGATTTGGACATTAGCAGATTACTGGCGCCTCTGATTTGCATGAAACTGAAGTTCCTTATTTTCACACAGAAATAATAAATTCGTGTTTAAAAATGTTTGTTTTGTATAATTTAAAAACATAAAAATAATTATTAAATATCTATAGCTCAGGGGTAAAGAATTGAATTGTACTATCAAATCATAAAGAAGTTCTAGTGCAGTGCCACATAAGTTTTTTGTCATGATTGTGTCTGTCTCTTTTCAAGTTATGAGTTTTGATTCTCGATTTGATGTCTTCCTGCTCTTTTTTTAAAGGAAAATAAAGTAATTCAAGTATTTTGTTAGGTTTCAACAAATATTTTTGGGACCTATAAAATAAGATTATTTTGAAAGTTATTGAATAATTGAACTATTTTTTTTTCTCATTTTAAATAAAGTCTTTTTATTGAGTCTTTATCTCCTAATTCTGTTTTTTCTGGAGGTTTATGGGTTCATGAAATATTCATTTATTACTTTCAAAACGATTTTCACAGAAATTTACTTGCAGCTGCAGATGATATAAAATCGTTTATGAAGTAGAGTCTAAACCGTACAAATCTAATTATAAAGCTTAATTCGAAAGGATCACTTTGTAACGATTTACAGGGAAAAAACGAAATATCAGTCATGTTTGTAGTCAGGTGGGATCATTGAAATGATACTCTAAAGTTGATTGTGGCCAATTTTGGTTCCAATTGGCCCAGTAGTTTCAGATAAGACGATTTTTTGTAAAAGCTAATGGACGACGGACGTCAAGTGATGAGAATAGCTCACTTTACCCAAGAGAACAACGATTGATATGATTTCCGTAAGCACACACAAGTTCCTTGAATAACCTTAATCACGTACTCTAGAAAGGATAAACATGAAAGAAGATCAGCTAAAACTTGTATCGTAGAAAATATATGTTATTGTCCTGAAACTGAAATGCTTTACATCATTGAAAGAAAATAATTCGGATACAATTGTCAATTTGATTATATCACAAATAAAATTCTGCACATAACAAATAAGGGTTTAACGGTCATTGTATAAAAGAAAACCTGTTTAAATACATAATACAAAAAAACACAGTGGAAAATGTCTTCACAATGAAAACGTCATTGAAGTTCTTGCTACTTGCTGAGATCACCCCCAGTTTTTGGTGGGGTTCGTGTTGCTCAGTCTTTAGTTTTCATAGTTGTGTTTTATGTACTGTTGTTTGTCTGTTTGTCTTTTTCTTTTTTTAACATGTCGTTGTCTGTTTATTTTCGACTTATGAGTTTGAATGTCCATTTGGTATCTTTCGCCTCACTTTTGCATTGTTCAACAAAGTGACGTTGGAAACTGTGAAATTGATAAAGTGTTAATTTCAACCTGACTAAAAACAACCACCAACAATGTATGTATTACCTGTCATGCGATTTTAAAGCCAAAATGTAGTCATGCAGTTTTTTTTTTTATTCAGTTCGCTATACAAACTTTTCATTTGGAAGATTCATCAACTGTGCTCGAATCAAAGTAGTTGGAAGGGCAAATTATTTTTGTTTGTTAATAGCATTGAACTCCAAAAAAAACACCGAAAAGTTGTGCCATATCTGACTATTGCAATATATGCCTGGGGAAAGAAAAAAAAAGTCTGATATGAAAATTAACATGTGTCTCCTATTTCATATATAATAACGTTTTTGACCGCATCCGGTCTCGATTCGTTTGGAGTTCAAACCTTTCCCTTGTATTTTTTTTCTTTGCTCTTTTGGTTAGAATATTCCAAATGGTTTTACGAGTTTAGAACATGGGTGTACTTCTGTCGCCTCTTATTTATCCAGAACTGATAAACTGAGTTATATTCAAAAGTAAAATAATAAAAATACCGAACTCCAAGGGAAATTCAAAACGGAAAATCCTTTATAAAATAGCAGAATCAAAAGCTCAAAACATCAAACGAATAGAAAACAATTGTCATATTCAAAGGAGACTCGAGACATACCTTGGTTTTACGAGTTTAAAACATTGATACACTTATGTCGACACTTATTTATCTAGAACTGGAAAAGTAAAGAGTAAAGGAGACTCGGGACATTAATTATTTATTAGTTGAAATTGGGTTCGATTCAGCTTTCAGTAAAAACACTTATAAATACCAGGATTAGAATTTTGTTCGTTATGCTTGTAAATGTAAGAACGCCGTTGTTGGTTTTTTTACCTTTTTTTTTTGTGTTTAGTACCGGTCTAACGAGTCAAGCCCTTCCCAATCAAAATTTACAGATTGAACTAAATTTGCACCTTCCAAGTTAAAGACGCATTCACGTAAATCAGGCCTTTTGCTAATTGTTGAAAGACGTACAGCAACCTGTAGTTTTTCATATTCTTTTCGTTCGGCCTTTGGTGAATTGTTGTTTTATTGGCAATCATACCATATCTTTGTAGTTCTGTATTGTTAATTTTATTTACTTTTCAGTGCTATCCATGTTAAACATTGTTTACTTATTCGAGATGAATGTTTAGTTTTAAAAGATATTTTCGGTCTCAACACAGTAGATTTTATGTATTGTGTATCTTATTCGATTGGAAATGTGAAAGTAAATTCAATCAAATTATGTCGTAAATTTCAATCAATTTTGGGACTTGAGAAAGAAGGTTAACTTTATAGCAATAAAAATATTTAATAAAACTTCGTCGGTATAATAAATGTTTTCTAAATATCGTCGGTAAATTATATCTATAAAATCGTAAATCTCTCTACAGCATCGATAGCGGGTAAAAATGACCATTCATCGATTGATCGGTCCTTGTCGTTCTCACTGATAAAATGGCTGGGTCTACATCGGTTAAATCGCTCGCGTAACTTGGATGGTAATTGTTGTCTTGCGTCGGATACCCCACTGGCAGGAAAAGACGCGAAGCCCACGTTGTCTGCATACTATTAACGGAAACAGCGTTCTTGTTCGGATCTATATTATTCTGGTTACCAGCATTTTGTCTCTTTGTGGCTTCTGCTGTTGCTGCCCTCCTTATCGTTTTACATCGTAGTTCATCGATTTGTTTTCGTGCATCATTCACGACCGACTTCCGTTTGTCCACTGCTGTGAAAATTCCATCCAAATTTTTCTGTATTTCGTTAATTCTGTTTTCAAAAATTGCTTCGGAATCTGTATTAGTTGCTGCATCAACCTGGAATGATTATGATTAAAAAATTATTTACAGTTCAATCCGGTTAATTACGTCGCATCAGCACAAAAGCACAACAGGCTATATCGAGACAATCATAATATTTATAGAATATTGTGTATTTTTGTGTGCGTTTTTCCAAAAGAATTGAAATAGGTTATGATGGTATCCCGTGATTTTGCTCCATTTCAACGTGTGTATAGGCCATTTTTACACCGTAGTGCTATCTTTGAATATGGTTTTTATCGGTACTAAGATTGAAATTGTTTTTGATAAATCAAAATATAACTAAATAAGTATTGCTTTTCATTTATAAAAAGGTATGGTCCTACATCCTGTAGATATCATGTACTTATATTTTAGCATTCTCAGACTATTTATGACGTCTTTACATTAAATCTGTTGGATGCGTACCGACTGCCACTTTAGTCTGATTTATTTATTAGTTGGTTTTGGCTTTAGTTTTCAGTAACTGCGAGTACTTTTATATCGGTACTTTGTCCCTTTTGTCTTTATGTTAGTTGTTTCTTTTTTGTGCTTCGTGCCGATCTGATGAGTTAAGCCATTTCCAACTGAATTATACAGTTTGTTCTTATGTCGTGCTGTTAAATAAATGTCCAAGGTTGCTGGTGGAAGATTGAGCGCTCACAAACATGTTTAACCCCGCCACATTCTGTTTGTGCCCGATCCCAGTTAGGAGCCTGTAATGCAGTGGTTGTCTTTGTTTACTGTTTGTTTACTGTTTTTCGTTTATTGTTTTGTCATAAACCAGGCCGTTGTTTTTCGTTTCAAATGTTTCACATTTTGTCATGTTGTATCCTTTCATAGATAACTATACAGCATGGGGTTTGTTAATTGTTGAAAGTCGCATTGTGACATTTTATTGCATCCACGTAATTTGGGCATAGTTTGACCTATAATTGTTTACTTTTTATACATTGTGACTTGGGTGGAGAGTTGTCATTGGCACTACTACCACATCTTCTTATTTATAGTTGTCTCATTGGTAATCATACAACATATTATTTAATCTTAAATTTACGAACATTTTACTCATCACAGTTACGCTTCATTAATGAGTAAACGTTTCACGAAAATCTGGCTAAACTTCCTGAAAATCTCGAATAGACCAGTTATAGCAAACTGCTAAAAAATAAAATTGAGAATGGAAATGGGGAATGTGTCAAAGAGACAACAACCCGACCATAGAACAGACAACAGCAGAAGGTCACCAACAGGTCTTCAATGCAGCGAGAAATTCCCGCACCCGGAGTCGTCCTTCAGCTGGCCTCTAAACAAATATATATACTAGTTCAGTGATAATGAACGCCATACTAAACTCCAAATTGTACACAAGAAACTAAAATTAAAAATAATACAAGACTGACAAAGGCTAATTTCTTAGCTAAAGTGTATGGGCTACCGAAAATACTCGGTCGAAAGTTATCTACATGCACTTCTTGTAACTAAATTCTTTCTATAATATGCAACTGTTGTCTATAATTGCTTACATCTACATCATTTGAACTTTGGTGGATAGTTGTCTCATTGGCAATCATACCACATCTTATTTTTAAATTGAATATATAATGATTTTTAATGGAACAATTTAGCAAGGACTAGGACATCCTACGGTAAAAGTGAGACCCGAGTTGAATATTAGATGAATAGAAAAAAAAAGCTTGAAATCGATTGATTTAGCACGATAGCAAGGACATGAATTACTTTTATTTCATTATTATTCTAGGTGTATTGCATGTAATTTTCTTGGGTTTATGGGTAAACGAGAGACGAAAGATACCTAAGGGACATTCAAACTCATAAGTCGAAAATAAACTGACAACGCCATGGCAAGAAAAGACAAATAACAGTATACAAAACACAACATAGAAAACTAAAAACTGAGCAACACGAATCCCGCCAAACACTGGGAGTGATCTCAGGTGCTCCGGATAGGTAAGCAGACCCTGCTCCACATGTGGACAACGAAATCCACGCGGGATTTCATGTATAACAAAGATTATTGTTATCCGATTGGTTTAGGAGACTGACAGCATTGATGATCACTTGCCTTAAACGATGTCTTTAACTGCAATATGGTCTCAACAATGGACGACAAGACATAATTCACGTGTACTCCATTCTTCATACGCTGGATGTCTGAAATTGGCACTTTCAGACGACAATTTGGACAATCTATAGATAGGTCTACTCCACCCTTTGTTGTATTTACATTATTCACTTTGTGTTTTCCTATTTCCTGGATACACCTGTCAAATACAGAGAAAATTATGTAAGACATGCAATTATATCGTTTAAAGCAAAAAGGTACAATATCATTATACTTTTAAAATAGCTCTGATCAGAAACTGCAAGCGACATCAAATGGCCGTTATCAATATAAAATAAAGAGTTGTGGTGTGATTGCCAGTGAGACAACTACTAGTATCCACCAGAGACCTAATGACGTAGATATTAGCAACTGCTAGTATAAGTCACTGTTCGTCCTTCAAAACCCATACCGCAAAGCAAGCTATATATAAAAGGCCCCGGCATAACAAAAGGTAAAAGTATACATCCGAAAAAGAAAATAAAATTATAATAACACTGTTTTACGAGGAAAGTTGCATAGCTTTATTAGTTAGTTTAATAACCTCTATTGTAGAGAGACGTATACTTCGTATGAATTTCACGTTACCCGTTTGATATTTATAGCAAAATATTACACAAATATTGACAAGGAAGTATTGCAAAATGTGATAAAAAAAAACCTTTTAATCAAATTTATTTATCAAAATAATCTCAAAATTGATTTTTCTGTGAAGTGTTTTGTCACATGGACTGTTGTTGGTCTGTTATGTTTTTTTTTTCTATTTTCCTTTAACTTTTGGTTGCCCTCGTCTTACCTTTTTCCTATTTTTTTACAATTAAATATTGTTTTTATGTAGGACAATTGTAAAATAACTACATAGTAGCTTTTCAGATGGTGCTCTGCATGTTAAAAGAGTGCCATTATAAATGTCTATATTGTAAATTTTTTACAGTTATGCGTGCAACATAATGAATTAGTTGTTTTCAAGTGAACAATACTCGTCGGTCAAACCACGGCAAAATAAAATATTTCTTTCATAAATCATTTCCTTTTTGTATGTAAGTCTAATAATATCCAATGCAAACCGGTCGCCGCAAAAGTAATAACATTCTAAATATGTCCATACCCATGCCAAAGATCTTATAGGTGAAAATACTGGTTTGTTAGTCTATATTTTTGCTTTCTTAGCTTTTAAATTTGGTGTTTGTTGGTTAGACCAGATGTAATTTTTTTAAACTCAGAACGGAAAAGATTCAAAAGTTTATCGATAAATTATAACGCGGAATATGTAAAACGGGGGATTAGGGGAGGGGAAGTAAGATTTACCTGTTTGACCGAGCCCTCGAGCGCCTCAGGAATACCTTCTTTCGACCCATTATTACAATTATTCCTTCTGAATATGATATATCTGTTCAATACATTCTAAAACTTTGGCAAATGACATTTGAGAGAGACATTTTGATTATTGTTTTATAATTTAATCTTCATAATTGAAAGGCTGATTGGCGGATAAATGATATATTTTCTGTGTGTATATACGATTCCTCCAAACAAATGTTGTTAGGTCACGGATACTTAAGTGTTATCCTTATTTGTCAAGCACGCCACAGATGTTTAAGCTGATATCTCGTTTACAGTTGTGTAATGGTGAGAAAATGACAGATAGAGTTATTGTTTTGTTAAACGTGTAAGGAACAGGTAAAATTTGAAGGTTGATCGAGGTAATTGCGTGAATTTTCAATAAAATATGCATGTGTCCATGGGACACATATGATGCATCCCGGCTTGCATATAACGTTGTAAAGGAACATAACTCAAGATCGGTAAAAGGACTGCAACCTAAATTCGAACTTGATCTATGTTTTGTGGTAATAAGCATTTTGTATAAGTTTCATAACATTTGGTTGAGGCAAACTAAAGTTAGAGAACGGACACCAATTTTGGGATGTACAGACGGACGGGCGGACGTACAGACGGACAGGGGTAACACTTAATGCACCCCTCCGCTGCGGCGGGGGCACAAAAAAGCACGACATAAAAAAAAGAAGAGACGTACATTATACGATTTCGTTCGTCCGGTAAGCCCGTTCATATTTAACGTTATGTTAGCGACATCAAAAGACTTACTGAACGAACAAAGTTTCCGCGCTTGAAGGTATTACAAAAGCAGAAATATGAAAGGTTAAGTAAAGTGAATGACCGAGGCTCATTTGATGGTGAGGTGGTTCACCAGCACACAAAAAATGCATGCAGTACTCGTAATAGAGCCTCTTTCTTTTACTTGCATTCAAATTACACAAGTGCCTGGATTATCACAGTCCAATAGACGATGCTCATATTTTCTGGAATATATTGAAATGGCATATCAAAATCATGGTCTTCTTTCACTTTATGCACCCCTGTACTTTAGGGTTAGGATTCATTTATGGTAAAGTAGGTATAGGGCCCTTCCTTTACTTTATGGTCCCACTTCTCTGCCCCTTAAACTTTCGGCAAGAGGGTTTTTCTAGGTTATGGTTAGGTTTTAGGAGTAGGGCTAGTGTGAGAGATAGGTAAGGGTTAAGGCTAGGTTTAGGACTTTTATCTTTATACAGTAGTAAAAAATGAAAATAGATATTTAAAAATACTGTACTTAAAGAAGACTTGTTTAAAGTAATATTTTCAAGTTGCCACTTACTTGAGACAGAATGTATGACCGCATGGCAAAACTGTCGGTAGGTTGTAATATTCCCAACATATTCCACATTTCAGCAAATTAACGATATCTTGATTCAGAGTTACCGGGACTACGTTCGGACGGAGTGAAGGATCCATAACCGCAATCGAAACAACGCGACTGAAAAAAAAAATGCCGTCCGAAAAAAACGTCCTTTGTTATGAGTTGGCAACTATCGGCGTCATAGGAGCTCTAAGCGACGCAACAAACCCGGATGTTATACAAGATACAAGATGCAAGCTTACGCTTCTGAAAACTGATGTCGAAAAGCATTGAAATACCAAAAGCTATAACTATCTATACTCATGATTAAACGAGAAGACCTCATTTTGTGTGTCGCTTCTTTTCCTTCCCCAATAAATTAATCATCATGCCTCTGTGTCCTATAGGTACCATGCATAGTCGCATTTGTCATCCATTCTTATGATTATTCAGTTTGGGTTATTTTGGGAGAAAAACGAAGAAAAAGGTGTCCGGAAATTGTTTCCGTCATCAGACCGACTTTTAAGTCATACCCAAAACTTCCGATTTTAAACTTTAAAAGAGGGGGTAAAGGTTTTTTTCGAGCAACGTGTTTTGCCACTTTTTATTTCACGTGCAGACGTGAAAAAGGTTCGTTATTCACCGTGTTTCTTGAAATCGATAAAAAGATCAACGTGCAAGAATTTTTCAATTGTTCGCTCATCGTGAAATGGCAATTTTATTTCGCGTTCTTTCGTGCAGATACCTCCCTTTATTCCCCTTTTTAAACATAATTTTCATAATTACTCGGGGACAGGACAATTATTTTCGCGTTATTCTGCATGTATACTATGAATATAATCCTATAATATATAGAGACTCTCTATGTAATATAGCAGTGATCGCCGTGGATGGAATTGATAGTTAATAGCAAATACACTTTATTTATATTATATGTAGATCTATGTTCATAGTATACAGAAACGCGAAAATCATGCAATTTAACAGAGAGCAAAAAAATAACTGAGTTTGGAAAAAAGGGAGAGGGCTTAAAATAATTGTCCTGTCTCCAAGTGCCTATGACTCAGTTTGATACCTTTTCTCAATTTCTCCAGACATAAAATCTTTTACAAAAATTCACCCTATAACAGTTTACATACTTTCAACCAAGCTCTAAATACCCGCGATTTCGCGGGTGTGTTCTAGTGACAATAACTTGTGGAACGGTTTATGGAGCTCTCTGAAATTATACCACAAGTTTCCATACCACAAAGGGATGGTTAGGATTGGCTTTGGGGGGGTTATGGCTCAAACCGTTTAGGAATTAGGGGCAAAAAAGTGGGGGGGGGGGGTAAAAAATTTTTTTTTGAAAAAGTAGGGGGGCAAGTGAGCATTTCTCATCACATGGCGTCTGTCGTCGTCTGTCGTCGTACGTCATTAACTTTTACAAAAATTTTCTTCTCTGAAACTACTAGGCCAATTTTAACAAAACTTGGCCATAATCATCATTGGGGTACTTGTAACGAAGTCAGTAAGTGGATAAATAATTTTTTTATGTAATTACAAAGTTAAGACTGTTTCTAAAGATCAAATGTTCGATTGTTCACAAACTGTCTCTGAAGTTAAATTGTTCGAATGTTCGTATCGTCACTCGGACACGTGATCGTATAGTGATATAACTGTTCGGTCCTGACTGAGTAATTCGGATGGTTAGTGAATTAATTCCAGCCTACCCACAATGGGGGAGACCTTGGCGGAATCTCCTGTCGGATTCTATCTGTACGAATCTATCCCCGTTCGAGTCCAAAGCTGGATCTTATATAGTTCAGTGGGCCATTAATCATCTTTAAACAATGACCCATAGCTGTTGGCAGGTTGCGTAGTAGTCTGGATGTTGAATAATACTAGTCTGAGGTTAATTGTCAAACAATGCAATTAACCTCTGCAGGATACATGTTATTTAACAGTGGACATTGTCATTTACTGGCTGCAGGGTATATGTCTATAATATTCGTACACATTGTTATTAAGTGTCTAAAGGGTAAATGTATTTGTTTCAGTTATGCTATATTTGATTACACCTTGATACTTATTGTTATGAAACACATTGTGTTACATATCTAGTATATATAAAATCAGAAAGAATTGAAAAAAGATACAGGTTTGCCATTAAGAATGTCAAGATAAACAAAGGAAAAATAAAAAGAACAGTGCTGGCTATTGCCATTAGTTTAAATGTCTTTATTTATATAGAAATAAGGAGATGTGGCATGATTGCAAATGAGACAACTATCCACCAAAGTTCAAATGAAGTGGATGTAAGCAATTATAGGCAACCGTACTGCCTTCAACAATGAAGGAAACCCATACCGTATGGTCGGCTATAAAAGGCCCCGACATGAAAAATATGAAACAATTCAAATTAGAAAACTATCGGCCTAATTTATAACAAAACAATTACGAATGACTGTTTTGTCTTTTGTTGTAGTATATGTGTTCCCTCGTCTCTACTACACCGTATATTTGTCTTGCTCCTCATCGCGATATAAATACACCGTATGTTTCTATTAACTTCAAGTCTTGCTCCTTTTCGCGATATAAATAGATCAGGTTGACGCCGTCCGTTATATAAAGCAATCACCAATCAACCAATCAATCAATCGATTCCGTATAGAATGGGGTTATATAATATTTACCTTAGAATAATGGGAAATAACAGTTTAATACAATACCTATAAATTGAAGTTAATTTGTATTTATGTTTTAAATAGATCTTATTTACCTTTATCTTCATAAACGACGACTACCTATTTTTTTTATGAACATAGTGACTACGTATGCCAGAAAAGGTTAAAAATTCGTATCGAAAGTTCTAAAGACATGAATGGTTTCGCAATCGGGTTAATTTATCACAATATGTGTCATGCGTCAGTATTACGATAGCGTGCAGATATAATATACCTGACTTTCTCGCTCCTATTACTACAGAAAATTATCTTCGGCTAACACAATGTGTGATATTTTAAAAGCGGAATTTAAGCTTCAAAATTTCGGCTTTCCATGCTCAAAACCCGAGGCTTTATACACATGCCAGGTATGTGCTGATTTTTCTTTTAAACTTTTTCTTCCTGTTTTGTGTGATGAAATATTCACCCACGTGGTAGATATAATTGTCGAACGAATTTAATCATTTTGTTATTGATATTTTTTGTGCGGTTTGAAAAGATGGGAAAAATGAATTATTATGATAATCGTTTTAGTTTATGTTTTGCTTGTTTTTCAATGTAGATTGTTTTGCCATTCGTTTTTTTTTTCTTTTCGTCCTTAGTATGCCTATTTTTTTTAATAAAATAATAGTTCCGTGTTCACTTATTATTGCTAAAGGATTAAAGAAATTTACACAGTAAATCTGACAGTAAATATTAATTTTGTTTGTTTGTTAGTTAGTTTGTGGTTTTTTTCTATTGGTTTGTTTTGTTTTGCTGTTATGTTGACGTATCTATTATTAATTTTTAAATCATGCAACTGAGTTGTGTTTCATTTTATTTCATAGTTTCGTGTCTAGGTTTTTTTTAAACTGAATTTAATCAATTCTGATAACAATAACCAATATCTACCGAATATATATAGCTTACTATATATACGGTATTGGTTTTTTGCTCATTGTGAAATGCCGTATGGCGACCTAAATTTGTTCACATGTTTTTTTTTCTTTTGATCTTGAATGGATAATTGTCTCACTAGCAATCATACTACATATCCTTATTTGCACATTCATGCTAGGGCTGATATATTAACTGTTCACTACCATATGTATTAATTTGTTCTATTACTGAATCTCATTCTTAACCATTTGAAGAAACGTCCTACTTGTGAAACCCTTTCTTATCCGGAAAAGAAACTAACTTGCGTGTTTAGAAAGGGTGGAAAAATACATGACAATGAAAAATGGCATTATAATAACCAGGAAATAGAAGTTGAAAATAAGTTTAGTTATCATGGTATATTGTTAAATTTTTATGTCAAATATAATTTGTTACAGCAGAAACTTTCAGAACAGGGTAGAAAAGCTCTTTTTGCCTAAAGGAGAAATATAAAAGATATTGATTTGAATTTTGTTACTTTACTTTCACTTTTTGATACTTATATTAACAGTGTACTTTTTTATGGCTGCAAAATATGGGGCGCTCATATATAAGGCACCAGCTATATAGAGGATACATTTGGGCTATTGTAAAAATATTATGAAAGTAAAAAGCTCTTCTAGTAATGTCATGGTGTATTATGATCTAGGTAGATTGCCATTATTGCAAACCCGAAAATGTAGAATTTTTTTAATACTGTTTAAGCTGCTCTGTACAACAAACTGTATTTTGAAAAACTGTTACTGTTTTTTATATGATGATTTACAAAATTGTCCAAATAATAAGACAAATTGGTTGCATTTTATTAAAAATTAGCTGCTTAGTATAGGTTTAGGTGATATTTGGTATAATCAAGGTTTATTTTTAGATAGTAAGCTTTCCAGTACTTTTTACTTGATAATCAAACAGCGCCTGTTTGATTGTCTGAAGCAAGATTTTGACAGCCAACTGAGTAATTTAGTTAAATGCTCAAGTTATAGATATATGGTTCAAAATTTTTGTTTACAATATTACTTATTTAAACCACTACCAGTTATTTATAAGACATGTGGACGTTACTCTGCAATTCAAAGAGGTAATAGACTCTGTAATTTTGTAAAAAATGACATTGAGGATGAGGTACATTTCATTTATAAATGTCCCTCTTATCAAGGTCTTAGATCTTATTTTATTAAACCTTATTATTGGAGAAAACCTTCTATGTGTAAATATATACAATTAATGAGTTCGAATAATCTTAGAGATCTATGTAATTTGGGTAAATGTATTCTTCGTGCACAAAAAATAAGATCTAACATGTTGTAATATGTTTCACACTACCTTCTGTTATCTATGTATACTGTGTGTAGTTTTATATGTCGTATTCCTATAGTATTATGACTTTGGTAAATAAAGAGTATTATTAGTAACATACTTAATATTGGAAATTCTTATTTTCAAAACAGAGAGCAAAGCGAAAACATTTTCTCTAACTGTTTTTACCTTTTTGTTGTGTATCTGTTCAACAACCAAATATTTTCCCATGTTATAGTATGCCTTAAACAGGCACGCAGCATTTAGAGCTTTCATACCCCATTTGTAAAGATCTTCCGAACCCCTTCTTTCTCGTTATAAAGAGTTGAAAAGCAAACCTGATTCCTCAATAATAATAATAATAATATAATAATATTTTATTCAATAACATATCAAGCATATAAGTTTTACAATACAATATATACAATACATAAAGACATATACTAACACATACTAGTACTTGATAAAACAGAGCATCTAGTGAGTGTAGTACCTTTGTGTATGGAAAAAAAATGCTGATATTTTATCAGGGATAGCCCATAAAGCTCTGAAGCTTGTTTCAAATGGGGTCCCTTCATGTAAACCGCTAATAGTTTCGACATCCCCTGTAAAGTCTTTTGCTTTAATTACAAGTAAGTCGTGAAAACTGTTTTGCCAGAATTTTTAACTGAGCAAAATATAGCAAATCTTCGTATGTAAAGTTTATAACAAGTGGAAGTACAGAAGAAAAAAACACGGAAAAAGAGGCGAGAAAAGCTGGGATATGGGCACCGAATGTTTTTTTTTTTTGTTGTTGTTGATCTTTCGGGGCTTCCCGAACGGAAAACTAAATTCAAACGGTTTGTCAAATCCTTCACGAGCCGTTCAATGCAATGTTTCCTAATGGCACATAATGAACAGTGTGGCTGTTTACACTCTTCTGGAGTACCCGAGTTCAACCTCGATATAGATTGGGGCTATGCGTTACTCACATGATTAAGTGGTCAGTGATGTGTTGTACTTTTTAGCGACTATTTTTTTATATAACCATGGTCTTACAAATTCTGCTTTTTTTAAGTGATTTTACGGTGTTTTATTTGTTTTTTTTTTATCGCGCCTTATATGTTAAAGTTCTATCGTACAAAATATATATATGGGTGCGGCCCGATTAAACGTGTTGGTATTTTGGTTTTATTAGTTCACATAATTTCAGGACAATTTACAATTGTTGAATGCATAATCAAAGGCTTATAGAAATTTTTATCTATCAAGTATTGGTACTTGTGTCTTATTTTCAATGACATAAATTTCGGTGTTAGTGTCTCTTGATGAAGAATTTTGTCTTGCATATAAAACGGCGCTAATATTTCGTTGTATATATACACAACAGTACAATGTATTCTTTGAAAAAATGAATTCGACATGTTATATAATTATGTCGAATTTTCTGATTAGAATATGAGACAGACAATGCTTGAAATGTGTCACTCATACATATTACACTTTAAAAAACGAAGCTGGAAACAGTTTTTTAAAGTATAATTTACCATTGTAATTACAAAAAGTGTTTTATGACAATAAATCAAATTTTATTTATGTATTTTTTTTTATTTTGTAATTTTGTGAAACAATACAAAATTACTAATTTAATGGTTCTTTATGTTGTACTTATTATTAGGGCAATATATCATTACTTTATAGATATAGCCTCCTTCTACTCCAGTATGGTCTCACCTTGTATGAACTGAACTGATTCTTTTAAGAGATATGCACTAGTGTGCTAATGTTCTTTGCACGTTGTAATCAACTTACAAAGTGTTTAAAGAGGTTTAATTGCTGTAAACATTAAAAGGAGTGTAATATGTAAATAAAAAACTTTCTTTTTGTTTAAAAGCATACATGTACATGTATATCGTATTACCTTAGCAAACAACATCATTTCAAACTACGCAAGAGAGCTTCTCTTTTCTTTGAAGAATGTTTGAGGATAAAGTATGATGCATTTGGTTTTGTTTGTTGATTTGATAAACTGTTTGGCAAGATGTTTGCATAAGAATAGGTTTTCTTGATTTTATATTTGCACATCCGTAAACATAAATTCGGTTGAAAATAACGAACTTTCAAGTTAGTTGGTCTCATATATTATACTGGAGTGAAATATCCCAGTTAATCCTGCAATTTGATTTGTTACCTAAACAGGGGATAACAGCCCATATCCCCTGTGAAGGGAAACAAAGATAAAAATGGTAATTAGTGTTGAAAGCAGGACACAGTATAATATAATTGTTATTCGGGCTTCACAGGGGATATGGGCTCATATTTCCTGCTAGTGCCCTATATCCCGTTCGACTGACGGCTCAGGAGGTAATATGAGCCCACATTCCCTGTGAAGATCCTGAATAACATATATGATTCAACATAAGAAACCCATACACAGGATGACAATATTTGTTTTAAACGACAGAAGAAAGGCTTTTTGAAACACATAATGGATCCGTTCAATTTAAATATGCTCGTTACTTATAACTCAGTACCGTTCATGTGACCCGAATTCCGGTCATAAGCATTATTTTTTGCTAAACATTTGATTCAAACCTCAAGTTATTGGCTACCTTACCTCATACCGAACAGACTTTGGACTTAAATGAAATCTGTTAATATCAGTTACTCCTAAAGTGTCAGTGAAGTGTCTTTTGTAATTGACCTTTTTGGAAAAATAGATCAATTATCATACCTTAGCTTTTCAAAACCACGACTGTATTATAAAAAGAAATTAAAATGAAAATGTGGAAATCAGAGGTTATGAAAATGTTGCATTTGGCCATCAGGATTATGTTAATCAATCGTTCACTTATGCTGTTTAAAATATTAAGCCCCCAAATATTGTGTGACCCGATACAAATTTCCATCATTTTAATAACATTATGTATTGCTTGAATCGATAAATGAAAATACAGACTAGTTCATGCTTGTTTAAGCGCTGTTCTTTTGCCTTTTGTGTTTTTTTGCTGTGTGTGTACTGGTTTTGTGCCGTGGATGGAAACCGCGTAGCTATGGAACGCCATGACTGTCTTCTGATGTTGATTGTTAAATATGTTCGGTGCTTTATGCATTACGTTCAGTAGTATTTATATTTTGTTCAGTAGTTTTCATATTATGTTCAGTAGTTTTGACATTATGTTCAGTAGTTTTGACATTATGTTCGGTGCTTTGGTTATTATCTTCAGTAGTTTCATTATTATATGCAGTGGTATTTAAATTATGTTCGGTACTTCTGACGTTATATTCAGTGCATTTTTCATTATGTTCAGTACTTTCGACATTATGTTCAGTAGATTCAATATTATTTGCAGTACATTATGTCTTACCTTCAGTGGTCCCGGTTTCTTTATATTCGGTAGATTATTCATTATGTTCAATAAAAGCATCAGTATTATACTCGGTTCAATGAACTATATGTTCAGTAGTTGTATCATTATGATGATGCAGTGAAAGTCGGGAAATCAATAACGGAAATTTTCAGAAAAAAAACGAACGCGGATATTTTCGACGGACGTTTTCTTCATGGACACTTTTATGGGATCAGGAATGAAAATGGAAGAAATGGAAGCAGTATTAAATTGGTTTGGTTTACGTTGACACATTGGCAATTTTCACAAGGAAATAAAATACTCCTGACCTAATTTGTAAGATGTCATGATTGATTGATTGTTTGTTGTTTTCTGAACGTACAGTGGCAAATATTTCACGCATATTTATGACGGAGAGAAGATTTTTAAACAAGAAATTGCATGCGTTGTCGTTGATACAACATGACCATAGAGAGACGACAAAAAGACAAACAGCAAAAAAAATAAAATATAAAAACATATTCTATAGCTTTTGTATTCCTAGTAGGTAATCATTTTTGTTGGTTGGTTGTAGCATATTTATCTCATGCACCGACTTTTAAGAGACCACGAAAAATCTCCTTGCAGATACTCCTATATTATTCTGCATCCTACCCCGCTAATAGGCGCTTGAATATCAGATATTTATTTGAAATAACCCAAGATAAATGAGGTTGTGGATGAGGTTTACAGAATAGAGAAAGTTGATTCATAAATATAACCATATCAATGATAATTCATGGTAACACGGATTAGCCTCGAACTTGATCTGGATATTGTCAATCTATTCCTCTTCATTCTGGCTACCATTGGTGGATCTAGAGACTAAATCCAGAAAAATGTTTTAAACGCTCTGTTCAAGAACAGATATTAAGTTATTGGTTTGGGTAGTTTCTAGTCTCTTATTAAACAAAAAGGGTCATGTTTTATGCATTGCTTTAAAATACATTTGTAATAAGAACCATAACTGTACAGAAATGGTGAAAATTTGCACATAAATAAAGTTTTGCACTTTGTATTTTGATATTCATTACCTGTCTAATAGACAGTCTATGGTAATCATATTTACACTTAGACCTAGTTAGTTTTTGTGTATACAGCTTGAATTTGGAAGGATAAAAATCTTAATAAATGATTTCAAAATGACAATCATACTGATACTCAATGTTCATTGTTTGTAGCACTTTGTACAATATTTCATTCTATACCCTTTCATACCAGCATAAATTTCAATGTAGCTCTTTGAATGAATGAAATTTATGACTAGTTGTTTTCTGTTTTTTCTGCTATTGCAGAGCTTTTTGCTGTCATTTTTGTCTGAACTCTATCACGAACTGTTTTATCATTGTTGTAATAATTTCTGACACAATGCAGGAGAAGAATGTAAGATTACCTTTGTCTGCAATAGTGGACGAAATAGTACGTCAAGATTTGTTAACTCGTGCAAGATCGTGATTTTAGAGGAAAATATCGATTGTACATAGTTTGAATGGTAACATCAATTAACCAGTTCTGATTACGACCAGTTCAACATTTCATTCGGTATGCAGAAAAAGTTTAGTTATTCTATTAATCATTTAATTCTGTAATCACTTTTTTTTTTTACCTTTTTCCAAAGTTTTAAACATTTTTTTTTAAAGCACCCCTTTATTCTCTATTCTTTACTTTTTGCCCACCTTCTCTTTTTGGGGGGTAGGGGCATTATTCTCTATTCTGTAAACCTCATCCACAACCTCATATATCTTGGGTTATTTCAAATTAATATCTGATATTTAAGCGCCTTTTAGCGGGGTAGGATGCAGAATACAATAAGAATATCCAGAAGGAGATTTTTGGTGGTCTCTTAAAAGTCGGTAAGTCTGTGCATGGATTAATATGCTACAACCAACCAACAAAAAGGATTGCCTTCTAGGAATACAAAAGCTATAGAATATGTTTTTATATTATTTTTTTTTTGCTGTTTGTCTTTTTGTCGTCTCTCTATGGTCATGGTGTATCAACGACAACGCATGCAACTTCTTATTTTTTGTTTAAAAATTCTTCTCTCCGTCATAAATATGCGTGAAATATTTGCCACTATACGTTCAGAAAACAACAATCAATCAATCATGACATCTTACAAATTAAGTCAGGAGTAATTTTTTTCTTGTGAAAATTGCCAACGTGGGAACGTAAACCAACCCAATTTAATACTGCTTCCATTTCTTCCATTTTCATTCCATCCCGTAAAAGTGTCCATGAAGAAAACGTCCGTCGAAAATGTCCGCGTTCGTTTTTTTCCGACAATTTCCGTTATTGATTTCCCAATTTTTACTGCATCATCATAATGATACAACTACTGAACATATAGTTCATTGAACCGAGTATAATACAGGTGCTTTTACTGAACATAATGAATAATCTACCGAATATAAAGAAACCGGGACCACTGAAGGTAATACATAATGTACTGCAAATAATATTGAATCTACTGAACATAATGTCGAAAGTACTGAACATAATGAAAAATGCACTGAATATAACGTCAGAAGTACCGAACATAATTTAAATACCGGCACTGCATATAATAATGAAACTACTGAACATAATAACCAAAGCACCGAACATAATGTCAAATCTACTGAACATAATATAAATACTACTGAACATAATGCATAAAGCACCGAACATATTAAACAATCAACATCAGAAGACAGTCATGGCGTTCTATACATAGCTTTCGTTTTTATATTGTAGTGGACTAATTATTTAAGTTTTTATATTGTAGTGGAAATGGCATCGGGCTATTTACTGGACGATTCGTGTTATAATGGCAGCATATGCTCTAGGGGCTGTAATAACAAGCTATGTGATGTCCGTTGGAGATAAACATATCATTCTTGTGTATTTAACCATTTGGACATTCACACTGCTTACAATACATCTATGGATAGCTACTGTCATAACAATATTTTACAGACCAACTATGGATAAATCTGGTGAAAAAATGCATGGTGTTACAAATCCAGATTTTCTACCTTCAAGTGTTGAAAGTACCATTTCACAAACAGCAGACACGAGCAGAAGCAACATAGAAGATATAAGATGTATTCCGTGGTTCTTAAAACTGTCATGGTTGCTTGGAAACGTCGTGTTGGCATTTGAAATTGTGGTTACAATAATTTACTTTGTATTTTTATTTCCGGATGAGAAAAACCGGGGCGTATTAATCAACAACATGAATATGCATGCTATGAATACAGTGTTTGTTTTGGTTGATTTTTGTATTAGTGCAAGACCTGTTTATTTGCTGCATGTGATTTACCCAATTATATATGGAACTATCTATGCTGTATTTAGCGTCATTTACTGGACACAAGACCACGTGAATAACGTGCTATATTCTGTTCTAGATTGGAATAGTCCAGGTTATGCTATTGGTCTGGTAGTGATTTTAGCTATTGTCATTCTACCTTTGTTTCAACTTATATTTTTTGGATTGCATCGTTTAAAGTTAAAGATCTATTATCATTTATATAAGACGACATATTTTTAAAACATTTATAACACTCAAAATGTCTGCATGCATTATCTAACGTCGTTTCAATGATAACGAGTATGCTACATCCTTGGTATGTCGTTTTTATTCGAAGATGTGCCCAGTCCCTATCTTCCGTGGCTAGATCTAACTATTGGATTTATTTGCTTGAAAACGACATCTGTCATAGTTTGGTAGTTTAATACATTGTCAGGATTTGATGGTATGTAGCTTGTTCATATAGTTTGATACATCTTTATCAGATCGTTCATATAACTTTTTGTCATCCAGTGGCCTTTTATAGGCACATTATTTTACAATATCATTAAGCAAATGTATGAGGTAAGCAAATCCTGCATTCGAATTAAGAACAGCATTACTGATTTCTTCCCTATACAGCTTGGAGTTAAACAGGGAGATAATCTAAGTCCTAACCTGTTTAAGGTTTTCATCAATGACCTTCCCAACTATTTGGAAAAATCTCTAGACCCTGTAAATATAAATGGGCGATCTATCCATTGTCTGATGTATGCCGATGATATCATTTTACTATCTACTACAGCTTCTGGTCTTCAATCAAAACTTGATATTATGGGAAAATATTGTCAAGATTGGTGTCTTACTCTCAACCCAAATAAAACAAAAATTGTGATTTTCAACAAGGCAGGCAGACATATCCGCCTCAAATTTAAATACAAAGAATATGATATAGAATGTGTACAACATTGTAAATATCTAGGTGTGTATTTTAGTGCTTCAGGTACATTCTCCTATGCTCAGAATGAATTATACAAGAAAGCTTTAAAAGCATATTTTTAAACTTAGAAAAGATTTATTATCTCTAAATCCTAGCTTAAAAACTAGTATACATGTTTTTGATCATACTATTAAGCCTATTCTTCTTTATGGAAGTGAAATTTGGAGCTCATTTAATCCCTTTATAGCAAAATTTAGATCTGGGAACCAGTTAACATTAGATAAAATTTATTCGAATTTAACTTGTGAAAAGCTACACAGTAAATTTTGTAAATTTATTCTGGGTGTGCACAAAAAAAACACAAATTTTGCAGCCTTATCTGAACTTGGTCGGTTTCCACTGTACTTTGACTTAGTCAATTCTATTTTGAATTATTGGCTTAGACTAGAAAATTTAGACTCATTTCCTTTATTACAAGATGCATACCAGCATTCAAAAACTTTATTTTCTCAGCATAAATCGTCATGGTATGGCTCTCTCCAGCAAATTTTAAAAACTCTTCCTGGGTTTGCAAACCTAAATGATGGGAAAAATATTTCCAAAAAATACCAGAAAATATTGAAAGAGACATGCATAAAAATTTGGAAGGATCAACTGACCAAGAATTCAGAAGGGAAGCTCCGCACTTATGTAAAATTTAAGAATAATTATGGTTTCGAAAAATATCTAAATATCATGTCCAATTTTGAACTTAAGAGATCATTTAACAAAATTTAAGGTGTCATCTCACCATTTGCAGATTGAAATAGGACGATACCAGGGTACTCCTCCACACCTTAGACTATGTCAGCAGTGTAACTCTGGATATATTGAAGATGAAGTTCATTTTCTCTTTTATTGCACAAAATATAACGAAGACAGACACCATTTATATCACATTATTTCGGAATCATGTCACAATTTCATTAACTTAAATTCCCAAGAGAAATTGCTATGGCTGTTGTCTTGTGAGAACTTAACTGTATTAAAAGAGTTGTGTATATTCCTGGTTAAACACTGCAAATAGCAGATTTATATAACATGTTTCGCATAATTAATAATTGTTGTTATTTTAAAAAAAAAAAATTATTTGTTAATTGACCGGATTCAGTTTCTCTATTTATTTTGTTCAGCTGCTTCTGACACGGGGAGGATTGCTGTTATTGCCTATCGTAATCAACAGTATATCCTAGAGCACCGTCCCTTGGTGTCTCCTGCAGATGAACAAATTTCCATCTTTATAGATAATAAGTTAAGGTTGATCAAACTTTATTATTAATACTTTTTTTTTATTTTTACACTGCTGGACATAAGGAAGGAAGGAAAAAAAAATACTCAAGAGTACTTTTTATGTATTAATACTATTTTCATTGTCTATTATAATATCTGTCACGTTATATACTGTACAATGTCTCATGTTTGTTGCTTATACGATCATAATTGTTAATTGTAAATGCCCCCTGTGGGACCATGATTGGAATAATAAATATTTGATTTTGATTTGATTTGATTTGATTATAGCTTACTGTATGGTATTGGTTTTGCTTATTGTTGAATGCCATACGGTGACATGTAGGTGTTCACAGCCTTGTCATGTTGACCTATGAGGATAGTTGTCACAGCCTTGTCATGTTGACCTATGAGGATAGTTGTCTCAGCCTTGTCATGTTGACCTATGAGGATAGTTGTCTCAGCCTTGTCATGTTGACCTATGAGGATAGTTGTCTCAGCCTTGTCATGTTGACCTATGAGGATAGTTGTCTCAGCCTTGTCATGTTGACCTATGAGGATAGTTGTCTCATTGAAAATCACACCAAACCTCCTTATTTTTATATACATAATGTGCAATAGCAAAATAAAGCAAGCAGCCGAAGCTATTTTTAAAAGTATTATCTGAAATCTCGAACTACTTTAGGCAAAGACGCTAAAAAATATGAAATATTTTTATTCTGTTAAAACTTACTGCAAATAAATGTTTGACCATTGTTTTTATTTGATCTCAAAACTAACAAACGTTGTTTTCTCAGACTCTAAATTTATTTTATTCATAAAAAAATCGACACGTTATAAATATTGTTATCACACATAATGTTGTTTGAAAAACACTTCGAGTACTCTGATATCGGTGCATTGTGTCTATTGTATTTATGTTACTGCTTGTTTTTTACATGCTTGATACCGATCTATTGAGTTAATCCATTTGCAACTGTTTTACAGTTTTTTATTGTGTTGTTGTGCTGTTGCATCGCTATCCAATGTTTGGGGAGGGTTGAGCGCACACGGACATGTTTAACTCCGCCGCGTTATCTGTGTGCCTGTTCCAACTTTGTATTTCGTTAATTGTATTGTTATAAATTTGGCCGTTGGTTTTCTCGTTTGAATTGTTTCATACTTTTCTTTCGGGTCCTTATATACTTGACTATACGGTATGAGGTTTTTCTCATTGTTGAAGGCCGTACGATGACCTATAATTGCTTATATCTTAGTCACTTGTAAAAGAAAAAAATTTAGTGCCGCAAATTCTTTGTATGACAATAAAACCTTTCTGTACGTATAGATAACTTCTTCACATCGATTTTACCAGTTTCTTGTGAAGTAAACAAGGCTGATTGGTTTGTCCTTTGCCTTTTACTATGTGTATTAATGATTTAGCTATAGAAATCTCAAGTCTTTGAATAAGGGTTTTGACTTTGAAAGTATAAATGTAAGTATCTTACTATCTGCAGACGATATCGTTTTACTCGCACTAAATGAGGCTTGCTTACAATGTGTGCAAGATTGTGTAAATGAATGGTGCTATAAATGGAGATTAAGTATAAATTGTATAGAAAATCCAATATCATATATTTTAGACATAGCTCTATTTAACGTTCTACTTTCATGTTTTGTTTTGGAAGTCATAGTCTAGTCTATGTAGATTCATATAAGTATGTATGTGTATGGTTCACTAAACATCTCTCTAAATATGCCAAGCGGACATTAAGCTGTGTGACTGCAAAATTTATACTTCATTTGCTTGTGGTGCAATGAAGTATCAAATGTTCCAAAAACTGACTGTATGAAAGTTTGGTACAAGCATAATTGCTATAAGGCTCGGCGATATGGGGACTTATGGAACATAGACTTATTGGTAAAAGTTCAAAATAGGGCTAGTAATTCCTTGGAGTGTCTTAATATACAAAAAATACTGCAGTGCGGGGCGTTTATGGTGGTTGTCTCGTTTGGCTAAGCAGAGACTTAATGTATTGAGATTTTACTATAAACTTCTTCAAAATACAAACAAATTTCCCATTTCCCATTTTGTTTAAGGTACACCAATGGTGACAACGAAAGCGTAGCTCTTGAAACTTTAATGTGGTAAAATTATTACGCAGTAGTCCATAAAAATCAGATTCAGAATCAGAAAGAAGTTAAAAGTAAAACAAAAATATTTGTTGAACAGTCGAAAGTGAATGGTAAAGCTGTGGTCACACCTTACCGGATAGCTCGAACGGGCGCCAAACGGATGAAAAAAAGTTTTCCGTTAACAAAATTTTTATCCGTTGGGAGTCCGTTGGTGTACTGACCAAATAAAACGGACGCGTATAACAAATGCCTAGCGGACACACACAGGATAAGCAACGTACGAGAAACGGAAACGTACCGGACAGAACGGATATCGACGTACATCCAACGGATGAGTACCGCATAAAACGGACACCTAACGGAAGCATACCGGATAAAACGGATGAACAAGATAAGCGGAAAATTAAAGGCTGCAATATTAATACATGTAAATCACATAGGCCTACACGTGACCTTTTAAATAATTAAAAAGTTTCTGTGTAACTGGTTTTAGTTTATTCTTCAAAATGCCGCCAAAGGGTAGGGGTGGCAAAGTCTAGCCTGAATAAGAGCTGCTTGATAGTGAAGACGTGCTCTTACTCCAAAATTCATCATGAATAATAAACATTCATCACACTCAAGAAATCTGACATACCAATAATCGGCATTTCTGACGCGAAATTTTCAATTGGCATTTATCCGTTTTACATTCGGTACGTATCCGTTTTATCCGTTATCCTTCCGTTCATGTCCGTTTCACATCCGTTCATCGTCCGTTTTATCCGTTATACGTCCGGTAGAAGTCCGTTGGTGAATTGGTCTACCGGACCTCCAACGGATGTATAACGGATAAATAACGGATACAAAACGGAAACGGAACGGACGAGTACCGTAAAAGACGATACTGAAAAATGTGTGTGCGTGAGACCAAAATCAAAACGATTTTATAATTTGTGAAATTTCATGTTTTGTATTAACGGAGATACTATTTTAACAAACCAGAATTATTATATTTGTTTAAAATTCACAAAATGTTTACATAACCCTTTTTATTATGTATTTATCGTATTTGTTTTTACACCATTCTCATCTTTGTTGTTTTATTCAAGTGTTTGCATTTTTTAATTGACATCATTCTGATAATAAACATAAATGATGGTTTACATGGTTCCATAAATTTCAGCTTAAACTTTACCGGTGTTTTTTTTTTCTTTCTTTTATCTTTATTATAAATGGTCCTGTTTTGTATTTTAGCCATTTTAAATAGTTTATAAAATGTATATACAGTGTCTACAAAGTCCACTTTGGCTGGGTATTTGTCTTTTTTATTTTAATGTACTGTAACAGTGTATAATGTATTTTACATATTTGTATAAAACTTACGGTGATGTTGTTTATCGAGCCCGGAAATTTATATACGATCCGGGTAAACTTATCAATCCTTTTAATAAACTTATTCTAAAAGGTAGCCATTTCAACACTGTAATTAGATCTTTGAATATTGTTTTTATTGGTATAAATATTGATTTTGTTATCAGTAAATTAAAATCATACTAATTAGTTTTGTTATACACATATGTTCTTTAACGGTACTACAATAAGTCGATACATTTATTTTGGCATTGCACAAGGTCATGTTTTTCTCTGGCTGTTAATGACGTCTTTACACTAAATCCATTGGATGTTGGATGTGTACTGATTGATATTTTAGACTTAGATACATGATTTTTTTT